AATGACATGCAGCCCAGCAGGAAGGCCAATTATCACACAGCCAAACAAAGCCCCCTGGCCAGCCCAGCCCCCTGCTCGGCCCCCGAACGGTTCCCAAACGGCGGCGACCACCGCCCTTTGGCTGATGCCCTTCGGCCGCTGGCCCCGGCTGCCGCTTTTCAGGGCGCAGGGCTTCCTCCGACGCTCGCCGCGCCCCGGCACGCCTCTCACGCGTGCAGGGCGTGGCGGGCAGTCAGGTGGTGGAGTCCGGGGCGCAGGCGTTCGCTGCCGCTGCCGGGCGCACAGGTGTCTCTTCTGCCGGCGCTGTCATGGCCACGTGTGGACTAGAACCTGGGCCTCCTGAATCCCACTAAAGCACTGGGACCTTGCAGTACACTGGCTTTATTCACATTATCAAGGGGCAGCTCATGCCCCCACCCCCTTTCAATGCATCTTCTTTTCCCACTTTTTGGTCCTTTACAGGTGTTCTTCCATTGACAGCTGGCATTTGGCCCCAGGCAACTGTGCTCAAATTAGTCTATATACAACCTCTCCTTTTATCAGGTAGCTTTAAGTGTGCACTTGTGTACCTATCTAGGACTGACCTAAACAAAATCCACATATAAATGCACTGTTTTCAAAATAATTAGAAATAACCTAATTGCGCTTTTTTCTTTGGAGAATCTGAAAAATAAAATATAAAAAGTTGAGGAACAAGTAATGGCCTTTCCAAAATGTCATTGCAGCATTGGTGGAAAGGCTGCTGAGAGTGCAAAGTGAGTGGCAAAGCGGTGCAGTTTGGATAGAGACATGCCTAGGCGTGTTTAGGCAGAAAAAAACCCTTCAGCTCTTAGCATTGCTGGCTGGCTAGGGAGTGCTGGAAGTTTGAAGGACAGGTGTTTTTTTAAACATGCATAGGACTAACTGTGCCTTTTGCAAAGAGCACAAGAAAGGTGCTAATACTGGAAAAGCAAGATATCCTTTGAGTAAAGATCAACCAGTGCAAAGGTTAACCCATGTCTGTTAGACTGAATAAAAATGGTTTAGCTAACAATATCCCTAAGCTCTGAAGTACACTGATGCCTCAGTCAAACCCACTGTAAATTCTTCCATTTTAAAAAGTTTATTGGGCTAGGTACCACTTGGCTCAGTTCTACCTCCGCCTGTTTAATAGCAATGGCAAACTGAATACAAGCAACATAATGGGGAAAATGGTGGCATGAATATTTGCATCTAGAAGGTGGAGACCTGAGAAAATGTGTGGTTAGTACAGCAACTTTATTCAGAGCCCCTTGCAATGAATATAGTGAAAGTCATGGGGCAGCCTTCCCCAACCTAGTAGCCTTCAGTGGCATTTGGACCACAACTCCCAGAATTCCCATCTAGCAGGGCTGTTGACTGGGAATTCTGGTCGTTGCAGTCCAAATGTGTCTGGAAGACACAAGTTTGGGGAAGGCTGTCATAGGGCAAACATAACTACATGTTGAAGTGCTGGGGCAGATGTGATCCTTTCTAGACCAAAGGATCATTCACTTAATTTGACTCTCAGATGCAAAGCACAGAGAAATATGGTCTCCTCATTCCTCATCGGTTTTCTTTGCTTGGAAAGAGTATTTGCTATTAGAAAGCTTAAACAATGACTTGAAAGTATTTCCTTCAACTCTCCCCCAATCCTCAAAATGGAGATGAATATTTTATAAAGTCAAAGTTGGGGCAGAAACGATGCACCAAAATTGTTTGTGTGGAGAGGTGTCTGGCAAGTTTATCTGAACCCTACATGCCTTTCACCAAGAGTGCATTAATGTGATTGAAAAGGAAAAGAAGAGAATGTCAATCCACAACAACAATAATGACATTACTGAGTTCTTAGAAACATACCCCATGTGGAAAAAGGATCTTCCTTTGTTTATTTTGAAATTTGAAAAACAGTAGTGCCTTTTTCAGGATTCCATCTTCTGTATTATTTCAGGATTGTCCCAGCTTGTGACCATTTTACCTCTTTAAAAAACATGCCAATTTTTTTCTCTAATAGAATGGTACCCTCAACCGTTCAAGCTGAAGTATGAGGAGGTCCATTCCTTGCTCTTAGCAGGCTGGGTTTTTCCAATTTCTTTTGCCAAATTGGTAATTTCCTTGAAACATGCTATGAAAACTATTGACTAATAAGCCTTCACGAGACGACAGAATTTTTATCTTATTTATACCAGTATTTCTAAGAATGGGCTGCCTTAGTCCTTAGAGGATTGTTTACAATGTTCAGTAAAAGCAGAAAATACAAAGAGTTTATTGTTGGGGAGTTGCTTATGAGATTTGGGGCCTCTGATGCAAAGACAACATGACCAGCCTGGTGGACTTTGTGTGTGGGTAGGTGGTGGTGGCGGCGGCAGTGAGGAAGCTGTACCTCTGCCTCAGGCAGCAACATGTCTTCTATCAGTCCTGCATACAAATGTGAGACGACGCTTCCACCACCCCCCCCCCGCTCCCCACTTCTATGGCTGCTTTCAGCTCATTTTTGGATGGCCTGAACAGATAACACAAGTGTTGGACAAATGCAGTGCTTTCCACCTAGAAGCAGTTGCTCATGGGAAGCTGTTGTTCTTAGATTACAGAATGGTAGGAGGGGGGTAGAATTTTTACCACAGCAAGTCTCACCTTTCTGCAAGGTGTAGTTTATGTAAGTTTGACAAAGCATCACGATGCCTTCTCAGTTCCCATGGAAGGATAAATGCCACAGTGATATAACAAGGTTCATAAGCGGTAGAGATTTTAAACGCTTCTTTTATGTAAACAAACTCCACCTTTTGGTTCATTCCTGTAGCTTTAATCATCTTAAAAATAGGGGGCAAATTCTATGGGCAAGGAAGGCACAAAACAGCAAGTTAAGCATTCTGTTTTCTTACTTCTGTCAATACACAAGCACTCCTTTCACAAGCCAACACTGGCCCAAGCCATTTTGCTCCTCAGGGAAAACAATCACATGGCACCCCACACATTCCATATACAAAAGCTGACAGGAGCGGCCATGCATCTTTCTCAAGATTAGTGTGGGTAAATGGCCTCCACTGCTCCCAAAGGGAGCTGGTTTGCTTAGGGGATGAAGGCCAGGCTGCATGAGAAAAGCTCTCTGCTCCAACATCTCACTGCCGCCACCCAGCAACTGCCTCACTTTGCCTAACAGGAGAGCTGGCCTTGTCATGGGTAATGGGAACCCATAAAACCTTGCTTCAGATCAAGTGCTAAAACTCTGTTACAAAACTCTGTAACTCCGAAGATAAGTTACTCAAATAGTGTCCAATGTATATGCAACTGTTACTGCTTGGTGGTCAGGAGAGATTTTCATTTCTGAAATGCACCTACATGTGACAGAAACACAAAATTCTGTAAGCACTCTGTGGAAAAAAAGAAAAAGACGTCATCCATCTAATTTAAATGCAAGAAGGAAAGAATTAAAAGCATTCTAGGCTGGTCAGGAGGGTAGGGGGCCCTGACACACCCTGCTGTTTCCCACTGAGAAACAGCAATTGTACAGTTTTGAAGTTTGGCCTCACCTTCCACAGCTTGACTTGCTCCACAGGTGACGAGAAGCCACATATGATGAATTCTCCCATGGGGCTTGTCATCCAAATGACAGCCGCTGTTCTGAATCTTTGAGCTGGAGCAGGGGTACGGTACAGCCTGCCGTTACGTGCAAAGCCGGTGAGGGTGGCTGACAAAGCCACAAAGTCAGTCCTGTGTCTCTGCCCAAGCTGTCTGCCTTTAGGGGAGGCCGACGCTGCTGCCCCTTTGCCGATGGTGAAGGAAGCTTCTGCTGGTGTTCTGGTTGACCCCTGCATGTTGAATGGGCACCCGCTTGCCTTTTGTCTCAGGTGCCAAAGAACTTTGGCCAACCTAGTAGCTTATGCAATTTTCACAAAGCATGGCACCATCCTCTTACAATTCTTAGTGGAGGATTAAAGCTGCGATTATGTAACATAGCTCAAATGTTCTTGGGAACGTGCTTTCGCTCGTGTATGCCAAAATACTTTGCTCTTTTTTTATGGCTATATTGCATTAGATAACTGACCCTTATGAAGCAATGAACAAACAGTGCTCTGAAGAGTATCAGATAACATGAACCTTTAATATCTTGTGTTGACATTACTATTAAAAGAATTACCTTGAAGAAGAAGAGAAGAACAAAGACACAATCCTAAGGAGGCTAGCCAGATCCTGGGAGTGGGGTTACTATTTGGATCAGAACACAAGCTCCATCATTCAGTTTGGACCGGGGATCAAGCTGAGTCATCCTCACCAAACCAAACAAAATGGCCACCAGTTCATGCACCTGAACAAGCCCCGGCTAGAAAGGGTGTTCCCTGAAAATCCGCCTTGGCAGTTCAATACTTATGGTAAATTCAAAATCCTTCACATAAGAAGGATGCCTCTCCCAATCTCTAGCCTACACGCTTCTTTCTTCCCCCAGTATTGATGTCCTTGCCCCATGGGAAAATTGAACTTTTGTGAAAGGTAGGTATAAACCTTCATGGGATAGTTGTATTATTTTCAAGTTATGTATTATGCAAGTATACCAGGAGCTAATTCAATAACACTTAAGGTTTTGCAACTGGGACATTTTGAAATATAAAGATAGAAACAGAGCAAGCCAGAAGGGGCCTCCTGGGCCATCTAGTCTGATCCCTGACTCCGCTCATGACATGCCTACCATGCCATGCCATGAAATGAGATAGGACCTTATCTCATTTCCTATCTTATTTCATGCCATGCCATGCCATGCCATGCCATGAAATGAGATAGGACCTTAAAGTAAGAAAGGTATTAAATTCTTTGTGAAGTTGATGACATTATTTCCAATGATCCTGAATGAGAGCTCTTTGAATGGAGCCAAATGAGCATATATGTGTGCAGCCAGGCCACATGTTCTTCACCTGACTCCCCACACTCCCTGGCCTTCTTAAAAGGTGCTCTCCAGCTTTCGGCTGACCTGCGGAGTTTTCCATCCAGAGTGAAGTGAGAACAGAACAATGTCCAAGTCCAGGAAGAAGTTTATTGCTTTGGTAGAGAAGGCAATTGCTGATGGTGCACAGATGGCACCAGAAGAGCTCATGTTCTCTTATAAGGGGATTTTGTATCCTGCTACTGTTTGCAGTCCAGCTGTCTTCAAAGCTCTTGAGTCCTTTGAAGCAAGGAGGGATGATGTGATCCTAGCAGGATATCCCAAGTCTGGTAAATAGCAATTGTTTGCCATTTAATATGTATTAGCCTGGATCTAGCATTAGAGTAGACGCATTGGAATCAATGGGCCTTAGATCAGTCATGTCTAGCATTGGTCGCCTTAATTTCAGTGGATCTCTTCTGTGTATGGGTAAATCTGGATACAGCCCACCTTGTTTATAATAATTGTAAACAATAGTATGAGAGTAATGAAAAGTTGGGGGCCACCCACTATCTAATGGTCTCTATTCCTCAGTGGAATGGAGATGGCTGATGGAATGGACTGGGGGGACTCTGGATCATTTTGGGGTTACACAGGGGTGCAGCAGGAAGCAGCAAAAGAAGGAGTGACACACATCTGCTGGTGTGATGGTGGTTGTAGACCCTCAGTGGGAGAACATGTGGTCTGCATACTGAAGGTCCTTCCTTCACTTCCTGATACCATTACTTCTGTGGGACAAAATCTGACATGGTGTGAAAGCCCTGCAGTTAGAATTTATTTTTTTACTACCAGCAGTATAGGAGATGGGTTGGATTGGACAGCAATTGTGATGGCCTCTTTCTGGTCCCATACCTTTCTCTAAGCCTTTCCCCCATTTAAAATCCCCACCACTAAAGTTGCTATATATCTATTTACTTACATGCTGCATGATACCTATAATTTCCCCCATCAGGGCAAGTAGCAGATGGGGTAGGAGCAGAAAAATGGCACTGGGGCAGGTTGATTTCTCCACAGTCCCGATCTGAACTCCTGCATGGCTGTTATTAATTCCAAAAAGAAGCCAGAGGAGCATAACCACAGATGCTGTGCACCATATCGTGTTCTTCCTTCAGTGATGACAAAGTCCTTTGCCTGAAACTTCTGCGGTACAGCCAGTCCGAGAAGCTAACACTGGATAAAGTGAACCGACCAATTGTCAGTCTCAGTGTAAGGAAGATCCAAATATGGGCATAAAAACATTAGTGGAAAAGGAGTAATTTTGACTACTGTTGGGACAATGTCTTATGCATCAATATTCTGAACACGAAGGATCCTCTCTTGTGAAGTGGGTGTGATCTTTATGAGTAAAATATGCTGAGTTCCATTTCTTGAGTCCCACAGCATTTTGGGAGTGACATGTTCAGATTTGCCCATACATAAGCCTCAGGAACATTTTCCATGATGACCATCGAACAGTATGATTGTTAGGTGGTAGCCAGCCTATGATAAAGGCCTGAAATATTAATAGGTGATGACTCTCACACTGTTTCCTACATCACAAGATTAGAAAGTGCAAAGATATTTTTTAAATAAAACAATTCCCTACATTAGAAAAATATTTCAAAGAAATAAGAAAAAAACCTCTATCAGGCAGAATGTGGGTTGATTTGATATTTGGGAGAGAAAGATGGAATTACAAGCAATTCTACCAACTCCTGAACAGGCTACAAACAAAAGGAAGGAATAATTATTGCAATGAATTGATATGGTCATGGCATGCCTGCTTTCTAATTTATAAGAGGAGTAATTAATTTCCACACCAAACCTTGAGCCACTCAGATTTGAAAGCAGACTTAATTCAAAGTTCATATTACCTGTCAGTTAAAATGTGTGCAATGTGGACAGGGTACCAAAGTTGTGTGGAACAATTGACAAAGTCCTGGTTTTCCAGATGTTTGGGCAATATGGAGAGGCATTTAACCTTCAAGAATTTCCAGTGACAGTTGGAATAAATGACTCAGAGATTATTTAGAGAGTCACCTGAAATCCTTGAATACTGAGACTGCAAAGGATCAAGTTAAAGGGAAGTTGCAAATGAACTGATAGTTACTATACGCAGAAAAAGTCATAAATATTTAGTGTGTAAAAGGCAATGTTGTGTGTGCAGGATGATAAAGCAGAGGGTTTTAACAACTTCCCATTTTAATCTATATACAGTGTTAGTAAAGTTATTGGATAGATTATATATACAATTTTCCTATGAAGATACAGCGTGGCTTTAACATGATTATCTTACCCGAGCACATGCCAACTGGGCAAGGATATTGGGATTGCTACTCAATTTTTTTAGAAGAATTGGTGCACCAACAAATTGAATCCATGCTGTCATAAAGTATTTTCTCCCAAGCCAGTGAAACGCCATGTCAGCATATGGCAGAGGAACCTCAGCACAAGGAGTGAAAATGGACAGTTCTGGGATTAAGGCACGAGAGCAGTGAAATACGGCTGGCATGCCCTGTTAACTCATATCCCTGTATAGGTTCTCCAAAGACTGTGTAAGGGCTGAATGTGAGGGCCCATGCACTGGGCATCAAGATGCTAGCTCTACTGATTGTAAGTGGAAAGTTTTGCATGATCGAGGAGCCTGCTTTCTCCAAATTTCAGCAAGAATACAAACAACAGTCTAAGAATATGGCAATGTAACAGCGGGACTGCACAAAAATATCCTCCAAACACTATCAGAAAAAAACTTGTATCAGCTTAAACAGATTTTAAAAGCCTGGGGAAATAAAGAGATCCTTGTCCAGTGCCAAAGTGGTAAAAATGGGAGGGGACAGGTAACTCTCCTTGGCTAGAGTATTCCGTACAGCATGGTGCTGGAAAGTCTCTCTCCCCTCTCAAAAGCAGAATGTGATTTCGTACTGTTAGCATTCATGAGTTTGGAACAGAATGTGATGAGTTTTTATACCAGATATAATCTGAAATGCATAAGTTGCATATCACTTAATTGGTGTTTGGATTATTGCTTCAGTGTGCTCTGCCTTTTTAGCTCTAACATGTGAGTATTTGATTAAAATAACATACATACCTCTCTATTACATTCACCCCCACTCCCTTTCTCAGGTACAAATTGGGTTGGTCAAATTTTAACAGATTTGGTACTATCATCAGCAAAGTATAGTGAAGACTCAGATAGACTGGATGATGAAGAACAGGAAGAATTTCCATATCTTGAAGTTGGAGATGCGGAGAAATATCAGGTTTGTTTAACTGAAGAAACTGGATGGTGTACGTAAATGTGCAGCATCCAAAGAGACACTGAAAGCCTGTTGTACCCAGATTATGCTGCTGGTATTGTGCGAAATGTCACTTATGCTGGTGCATGGCTGGAATATCCCAGATGGATGCTTAAGCCTCTATGAGCCTGCATAAGCATTATGATCGGTACCAGAAACCCAAATTTCTGGCCAGTCGACAAAACCCATTAGGCTGGTAAGCACGAGGGACTGGGCCTTCTTAGTGGTAGCCTCACACCTTTAGAATTCTCATCCCTGAGAGATACATGTGATTTCATGACTGCTGGCTTTGAATGAAAACAAGGCTCATTTATTCCAGTCTGCTCCAACACTTAAAATTTCTGTTTCTGCAGGTTTGTGGTTGAACACCGTTGTGAGGACAGTGGCTGACCTCACACTTCACAATATGCAACCCTGCATGGTTTCTTTTCAATTTTGCCTGGATGTGCCTGCAAGATGATTAAGTGGTTTCTATACTAAAGTGTTTTCTACCCTACTTATTCATTTCTCCTACTGTTGCCATATATCCCATCAGGAACTATGCCTGAAACTTAATCCCAGCTGATTTTTCCAGGGAACTCTGTGGCAGACCCATGGAAATCATGGTGCTGGAGTTGGATGACCAGAGAATCCATGGTGAAGCATGGAAACCATAGAACAGACTGTTGTTTCTTATTATGGTTTCTGCAAACCAAATTTACTATGTTGAAATACCAGGCTTTGGACAACACAACAGGCCATCTTTTTCAAGAGAACACCATGGCTTGTCATGTTGTATGAACTTGCCCAAAATGTCCAGAAAGGCAGGTTAAGAGTCCCTTAAAAATAAAAGGATACTTGCTTGGGAATAAATACCATTGAATGTTGAGCTTTACTTCCGAGTAGATATGTATAAAGTTACATGGCACTATTGACTTTTCAAATCTGTGTTTAACTTTTTATTTGAAATGCTAACATTTTATTAAGTTTTTTGCTTTCTTCTTCTCTCCACCATTCAATTTATGAAAGAGGATGGCAAATTTACCTTCCAGAAGAGTTATGCTCACCCACCTTCTCCCTCATAATCTCCCTGAATCCGTGTTCAAAAATAAAGCCAAGGTGAGTGAATCCTGCTCTGGAAGTATTTCAGTACTACCCATTGTCAATGGCAAAACAAATAAATACATTTTGAACATATTGTAACATGCTAGACTTTGCTTGTATATACTGTTGTTTCATTTTGCTTTGTTGTTTAGTATTTGCATATGTAGGCATATAAGAGCAATTTCAGATGTTACCTTGAAGCAGATGAAAGATGGAATAGTAATAAAATACGCTTCCTGTTCCTCTATGTTTTTCTCATCTCAACGGGAACTTTCATGGTCTTTTTTTACATCAAGGATATTGAACCGTTTTCAGCCTGAGGAACACATTCTGTTGCAAAGAATCTCTCAGGCTGCATCCCAGCAAGAAGCTGGGTTATAGGCAGTTGGACCAACATACCCACACATTTTAGCATAAATTCTTACTCCTACTAAGTTTCAAGAGAAGCATTTCCATCTTTAAGAATGGGGAAAAGTACACAAACACTGAGAAAACACCAAATGAGCAGCAAGCAGGGAAAGGGAATGAAGCCATAGGAAAAAGAAACGGCCATGGTTATCCTGGGAACCCTGGAGCTCCCTGATCCATTAGCCCAAAGTTCAACACCTCTTCCTTACATGCATTCACACATGCCTGCAAACACAGGCCCTGTTCTTAGAGCCATCACTTTTTCCACTGGAGAGGCCAAGGCTTTATAGGGGAAGCAGGAGCTGCAAAGCCCTGTCCACATTCTGTTCTCCTTTCATCCATGGCACATGCAAGGCATTCTTTCTCTGTGGGATAAACGCTAGGGGTCAAAGGAGGGATTACTTGGAATCTGCATCTAGCAGTTGCTCTTTTTTAAATTTTCACTCTGGAGTAGGTGCAAGGACCCCAATCTTTATGCTGGGGAGATAGAAGGGCTTTTAAGATCTGCATTGCCCACCTGCATGCCTTCTTTACAGTCCAAAAGAAAGAAAAAAAGAGAGATGTTTTGCCTTAAGATGTGCTCTGTATGTTCTTCTCCACTTTGCATATGGAGCTTCAATACCCATGTCTAAACTCATTCTTCACTATCTGCAGAGGGATATTGCATTAGGTCAACAGAATTTTGGAGGCTTTTAGATGTTCGGTAGAGTTATTCTAGGTCCACAGGTTTCCATAGTATTTCAGCTAGCAATGCCCAACCAACTTGCAGAATCAGAACTGTGACAACTCAGGCTCCAAAATGGCCTTTGAGTTTCTCTGGTCTGTTTCCATGCCAGACCAGTAAATTGCCAATTCACATCACTACAGTTAGCTGTAGCTGATGTGGGTACTCCAGTTCACGCACAGAAACTGTCTGCCTACAAGTGATCCCCATTCAGTGTAATGGAAAGTGAGATTTTTCTTCCCTTTAAATGAATGGCAAGAGAAGCACCATGGTGCTTGGGAGCAGGGCCAAGAAGAATGATAGGCCTGATTTTATCTTTTACTTTGTATTCCTAACCCTGTCTATGGACATTCTATGGTATTTCTCTTAATCAAGTTATTCTCCTTCTCTAATCTGACAATATCAGCTCCAGAAAGATTTACATATTTATACATTTGTATACTTGTAAATATGTATTCTTTAATATAAATATGATATATGTACATTATTGATATATGTATGATATACGTAAATTATAGATCCTGCTGCTAGTAAGAAATCCAAAAGATGTGGCTACCTCATTTTATCATTTTACCAATCGCTTGGCTCCTCTTCCCTCTTATGAAACCTGGGATGGGTTCTTTGATGCGTTTATGAATGGAGAAAGTAAGTATCTTCATCGTCTAGCTAAATACACTGGGCTTAATCTACAGATACCTATGCACAAGCATGCTCCTAAGTGAAGTTTTTAAAAGATGTATAATTCCATTGCCTCATTCACAGAATTTTATGAAACCTAGACTTCATCATAATAATCCACTTCTAATCCTCCCACTGTTTCCCCACCACTTCCTGCATCCTGTGTCTTAGCGTGGAAAATCCGTGAAGAAAGAAAAGATGTAATTTCTGCACAGTCCCTTTGGATTCATAGCGCTGGTATTTAGTTGGAACAGTCTGACAGCTTGACCAACATATCTATAGAGAATGGGTCCTACGTTTTAGCAGATGTGCCCCACAAAAACTCATTCTGTCATAGTGGGGAGAGGTACCAAGAGCAAGAAACCACCAAGAGTAGCAGGGACAGAAAGAAGGAACTCCAGCCATCATCATTCCTTTGGAAGACAAAGCCCTGTGAATGTGGGGCAGTATAGGTTCAAAGAGGAGGAGGTGGGTGGGGATTTGAGACCCAGGAATTAGGCATGACCTGAAAAGGTGGCCAGCACAGGTTCCTGTGGCATCCAAGGAGACCTGCAGTCTGTGAGCTGACCCCATGGAAAGACTAACCTCCAGGGAGAGGCTTGGTAGTTCACCTGGCTTGAAGAGGGCAAGCCCTACTAGCCAGAATCATGTCTAGTAGGGTTGTGACCATGCTCTTTCAGGATGTTCTTGCCCAGAGAACTAACGATTTACAAGTGGTTAAATAAAAAAGGTAATTGACCTGAAAGATGTCTTAGCAGTTTGATCACAAAGAGAACCAGATGTCAGGCAGCCAGTAATAACTACGTCAAGGCATCACCTTACCTACATTGTCAATAGCATATCGAGAAGTTCAGAATCTCAGTCCTGAAGGCCATATTGGCCTTCATGGGGCTCCAGTTTGACCCTCTGTGGTTTCTCAGAAGGCCTTATCCAACAAAAACTGTACCGTTCCTCCCAGAACCCTCAGTTATTTATTTATTAAAACATTTTATGCCGCCCCATTCGCCGAAGCCTCGGGGCGGCTTACAACAATAAATTACAATAAATATGAACATTAAAAATCCAAAAAATACAATATAAAATAAGTTAGAAATGGGCAAGCTTGTAAAAGCTCCACATAGTGGAAAATGTCTGAATAAAGGGCAAATGCATTTGTTTTTGGTTGCAATTTACATCAGCTGATGAAGAAAAAGGTTTGTGAGGAAGAAAAGAGGGAATTGAATGACTCAGGAAGTAGAGACCTTTGCCTACTAAACCCTATTACATTCAGAAAGAATGTGAATATTCTAATCTGCAGTGGGCTCTTCCTTTCATCATTGCACGATATTTTTATATTTTCTTACAGTGCCCTGGGGCTCTTATTTTGACTATGTCTTTGAATGGAACAAGCACATTGATGACATAAATGTAATGGCAATCACATATGAGGAGCTGAAGAAGGTGAGTGTAATGCGGTGTGGAGGATGCCCTGCACTTTGGGGAGAGGAATTCTGGGAACGACCGTTCAGGAAAATGCTGGCTGATGGTCTGCCCAAGTGGAGGTCATCACAGCAGCCTAAAGACTTGTATTGCACATCAAACGTCATTCTTTCTTTACTGAGACTTGTGTAAGATAGGGGAATTACAACACACTTGGATGGAACCAAATGACTAGAATCAGTTCGTGAGTGGGTGGTTCTTCACTCCTCCAATGTCGGGCAAATCCAATCCTTGCTGCAGTAATTACACGTAGAATCAAATACGTTGCTTGTTTATCAACATCATCAGGCACAATGCCTAGTAAGAAGACTTCGGGTTTGAATACTAAAGATTTTTGTAACGTTTCCTCAAGCCATTTATGTATTTTAGCCCAATTTTTTTTGCCTTATCACAAGTCCACCACATATGATAAAAAGTACCCAGTTTATGTTTATTTTATTTATTTTTATTTATTAAAACATTTTTATGCCGCCCCATTCGCTGAAGCCTCGGGGCGGCTCACATCAATAAATTAAAATAATTATAATATAAATTAAAATATAAATATAAAATTAAAATACAACAGTACAGTATAAAATAAGCCGCCCTGGCCAGATAAAACCAATAATGTTAACAGTTAAAATGCCGCTTGAATAAAAAGGTCTTCGCCTGGCGCCGAAAAACAAATAACGACGGCGCCAGGCGGACCTCTCTAGGGAGCGCGTTCCATAACTTAGGCGCCACCGGGGAGAAAGCCCTTGTCCGAGTACCCACCCTCCTAATTTCTTTCATGGAGGGTTCCCGGAGAAGGGCCTCCCCCGCCGATCTCAAGGGGTGGCTGGGCATATATGGATGCAAGCGCTCCTTCAGGTAACCAGGACCCAAGCCATTTAGGGCTTTATAGGTCATCACCAACACCTTGAATTGGGCCTGGACTTCAATGGGAAGCCAGTGAAGCTGACGGAGAACTGGAGTCATGTGAAAACAACGCCCAGTCCCCGTCAGCAGCCTCCGGGTCGAGGAGCACTCCCAAGCTGCGAACCTTGTCCCTAAGAGGGAGTGCAACCCCATTCAGAACAAGGTTCAGTTCACCTTCTCCAAAGCCAGAACCACCAACCAACAGGACCTCCGACTTGTCTGGATTGAGCTTCAGTTTATTGGCCCTCATCCAGCCCATTACCTCGGCCAGGCACCGGTTCAGTACAGCCACTGCCTCACCTGGATTGGTGGAAAACGAGAGGTAGAGCTGGGTATCATCAGCGTACCGATGGTTCCGCAGCCCACACCTCCTGATGACCTCTCCCAGCGCTTTCATGTAGATGTTGAACAGCAATGGGGACACAATGGACCCCTGCGGCACTCCATGGCATAGCTGCCATGTCGCAGAGCCATAGTCCCCCAGCACCACCTTCTGGAACCGGCCATCGAGATAGGAGCGGAACCACTGCAAAGCAGTGCCTCCAACCCCCAATCCCGCAAGCCTGTCCAGAAGGATACCATGGTCGATGGTATCGAAAGCCGCTGAGAGGTCCAGGAGAACCAACAGGGACGCACTCCCCCTGTCTTTCTCCCTGCACAGGTCATCGTACAGGGCGACCAAGGCAGATTCAGTACCGTACCCGGGTCTGAAGCCAGACTGAAATGGGTCCAGATAATCAGTTTCATCCAAGAGTGCTTGGAGTTGTCCCGCCACCACTCGCTCTAACACCTTGCCCAGAAACGGGATGTTGGCCACTGGTCTATAATTAGTGGCCATCTCTGGATCCAGTGATGTCTTCTTCAGGACCAGTCAGACTACCGCCTCCTTTAAAGGGGCAGGCACCCGACCCTACCTCAGAGAGGTGTTAATCACTTCCAAAATCCAGGTCCCAATCTCGTGCTTGGAATTATTTATTAACCAAGACGGGCAAGGGTCCAATAGGCAAGTGGTGGGACGTACTCATCCAAGCACCTTGTCCACATCATTGGGCCGCAATAACTGAAATTCATCCAATAATTCTGGACCAGACAGTGGCATTGGCGTCTCCCTTAAAGCCTCTGTATCAATAGTGGAATCCACTCGTGACGAATCTGAGTGATTTTCTCCCTGAAATGCCTGGCAAAGTCATCACAGCGGGCCTTTGAGGGTGGAATCAGGTCTTCTTTCGGACCTGGACAAACCAGGCCATGCACCACTCGAAAAAGCTCCACCGGACGGCATTGTGAGGAGGCAATGGAAGCGGAAAAATATTTCTTTTTCGCCGCCCTCACCGCCACAGCATAGGCCTGATAGTGGGCTCTCAAGTGTGTTCGGTCAGATTCATCACGTGATTTCCTCCACCTACGCTCTAGCCGTCTCCCAACCTGCTTCATCGCCCTCAATTCAGGGGTATACCAAGGGGAAGAGCGGGCTCTGCCCGGTGGGAGAGGGCGCTTAGGAGCGATCGTGTCTACAGCCCTGGTCATCTCCCCGTTCCACAGTTCGACCAGAGCCTCGACAGGAGCACCCGTCTTGTCAGCCGGAAACTCCCCCAGGGCCTTCAGGAATCCTTCCGGATCCATCCGGCTCCGGGGGCGGACCCACACAATCGGGTCTGCACCCTTACAGAGGGAGAAGTCGCTCTCGAGCACAAACCTCACCAGGAAGTGATCTGACCATGACAGGGGAGTCAAACATAAATTCCTCACCCTCAGACCACCCTCTTCCTGCCCCGTCGAGAAAACCAGGTCCAGGGTGTGTCCACGTTCATGGGTCGGGCCGATGACATGTTGAGACAGCCCCATGGCCGCCATGGAGACCATGGAGTCCTGAGCCGCCCCGGTCAGATCAGTCTCGGCATGGAGATTGAAGTCCCCCAGGACCAACATCCTGGGGGTCCTCAACACCAGGTCCGAGACGATCTCCGTCAGCTCAGGCAGGGAGACTGTTGGGCAGATGGGTGCACGGTACACCAACAGAATCCCCAATCTGTCTCGGTTGCCCAACACCAAGTGGAGGCACTCCAGCCCCGGACTCGAGGGGACCGGAAGTCCCGTGAGGGAGATGGCGGCTCGGTAAACCAAAGCGACCCCCCCTCCCCTCCCCTCTGGGCGCGAACAGTGCTGAACCAGATACCCGGGCGGGCACAGTTGAGAGAGGGCAACATCCCCCCCCTCTCCCGTCCAGGTCTCCGTTATGCAAGCCAGGTCGGCCCCCTCATCCACAATCAAGTCATGGATGAGGGAAGATTTGTTATTGACCGACCTGGCGTTAAGCAACAGCACCGTCAGGCCCGAGGGGTGGCTGACGAGACTCCCTGGCACCCTCTGGCTGGGAGCAAAACCAGAAGTAGGGACAGGTGTCAGCCATCTGTCCCTCCTTCTTCTATGCGGACACGTTAAGCTCCCACCGCTATAACGTCCATTGCCCAAGACTACCCCAATGGCAGCGCCCATACGCTCCCCAGGAAGCACAAGCGGCAACATGGCCAGGGACGACTCCATAAAACAGCTAAAATTATAAAAACAATTAAAAACTTACACTGACACGCAGCGTAGCAGGAAGGCTAAAAATCACGCAGGCAAACAAAGCCCCCTGGCCAGCCCAGCCCCCCCCACTCGGCACCCAAATGGCGGCGCCCCCGCCCTTCGGCTGACGCCCTTCCCCCGGCCGCCGCCGGCGCTTTTCAGGGCGCGGGGCTTCCTCCCTCCGACGTTCGCCGCGCCCGGCCACGCCTCTCACACGCGCCGGGCGTGGCGGCAGTCAGGGCAGGTGGTGGAGTCCGGGGTGCGGCGTTTGCTGCCTCTGCCGCTGCCGCGCGCGCAGGTGCCGTGTGCGCGGTGCCTCTTCTGCCGGCGCTCAGAAATGTTTGCATTTCCAACATCCATTTAACGTATTTGGAAACACCTTTGCTAATCTATTTGGCGATAAGTACCATCTATAAACATTTATAAAGATTTTCTTTATATGAGGTTGCTAAGGTTACCTTGATATTTCTTTCCCACAACTTTTGCCATTTCTGTAACTCAATATTATATCCAAAATTTTGTGCCCATGCTATCATAGTTTCCTTAACTTGTTCATCTTCCATTCTCATATCCAAAAGAAAATTATACAGTCTTTTAATCATTTTTTCATCTGATTTTAAGATCACTTGGTCAAATGTTGTTAATTCCTTATAAAAACCCCACATTTTATAATCTTTAACATATCTCAATTGTATTTGAACCTTATGCTACCAAGAGATATTAATACCCTGCTCTTGTAATTCTTGGTTCGATTTCAATCCTCCATCATTATCCAAGATATCATCATATCTCACAATCATATCAAAATTCAATGTGTTTGGATATACAAGAGCTTCCATAGGCGAAAGCCATCTTGGCAACTTAGCATACAGTTTTGTCTTTAATTTTTCCCACACCGACATTAATGACTTTCTAATATAGTGATTTAAAAAATAACCATGTGTCTTACATTTCTTATTCCACATATAGGCGTGCCAACCCATTTGTAGATCATGCCCTTCAAGATAAAGGATTCTCTTATTTCTTAAAGTTATCCATTCTTTTAGCCACGTTAAGACAGAAGCTTGATAATACAACATCCAAATAGGAAGGCCAAAGCCCCCATTCCCTTTGGCCTGCTGAAGCATTTTTAATGTAATCCTTGATTTCTTCTTTTGCCATACAAATCTCAGATTTTGGGTGTTTAGATCGTCAATTTTTTTAAATCAATTTTTATGGGAATTGTTTGGAATAAAAATAATAACTTTGGTAATATATTCATTTTAACTATTGCCATTCTTTCCAACAATGATAGTTGCACATTAACCCATTTTTTCCAGATCACCCTTAATTTCCTTAAGTAGTTTATCATAATTATCTTCTTTCAATGTAGTACATTTAGCTGTAAGAAAAATTCCCAAATATTTAATCTTTTTAACAATTTGAAGATCTACTTGTTCCATCAGAGTTATTCTCTGCTCCAGTATGAGATTTTTCACAAGCAATTTTGTCTTTTCTCTATTTATTGGCATCCCAGTAACTTCACCATACTCTTCTACCTTTTTAAAAAGTTTAGACATTGTTACCAAAGGTTCCTCTAGAATAAAAACTAAATCATCTGCAAATGCTTGCAATTTATAGCTTTCATCTCTAATTCTAGCACCTTTAATATCCAAATCTTCTCTAATATTTCTATTTAACACTTCTAAAATCAATATAAATAACAGTGGTGATAGAGGACATCCTTGTCTTGTGCCCTTTTGGATATCTATAGTATTTGTAAATTCTCCATTAATTATTATCCTGGCAGTCTGTTTTTGGTAAATACTTGATATTGCATTAATAAATTTTCCACCAAATTCCATTTGTGCTAATTGTTGTTTCGTGAATTGCCAGTTAATAGTATCAAAGGCCTTCTGTGCATCAAGAAACAATAATGCCATTGGCTTTTCAGAGTGAACTTCTTAATATTCTAAAATATCCAGGCTAATTCTCATATTGTTCCTCATTTGTCTTTTAGGTAGAAAGTGATTTTGATCTGAGTGTATAAAGTCTGTTAGATAATTCTTCAATCTTTCTGCCGTTACAGAGGCAAAAATTTTGTAATCCACATTTAGAAGTGATATAGCTCTATAGGTTTGGATCTGTGTCAAGTCCATATCTTCTTTCAGTATTAAGGTAATATTTGCCTCAGTCCAGGCATTTGGTATTTTAGCATCTGACAACACTGCGTTGCATATAGCCTTAAAAGGCATAGACAGGGTTCCTTCAAAAGCTTTATAGAACCCTGCTGGTAGGCCATCCGGACCAGGAGTTTTATCATTCTTTTGTCTCTTGATCGCCTCAGTTACTTCTGTCATTGTTATTTCCTCATTTAATATTTTTTGGTATTTCTCTGACAACTTTGGTAGATTTCCCTTTTGAATATACTCATTAACTTTCTCAATTGGAATTTCTTTATTTTGGTACAGCTTTACAAAAAAGTCTTCCACTATTTTCTTAATTGACGCACTTTGTAGCTGCAGTTGTCCTTCTCCATCTTTCAATTTATATATTAGTCTCTTTTCTCTTTCCTTCTTTAGTTTGTAAGCTAACCATCTCCCTGGTTTATTAGCATTTTCCAAAAAGTTCTGTTTAGTCAATTTCATTTGTTTGGTAAGTTCATTTGTATCTAAGAGGTTCAATTTGTGTTTTAAAATATTCGTTTGTGTCTTAAGGTCTTTTTTGATGGGGCTTTCTGAAGCTCCTGCTCAAGCTTCACCAATTCATCTACTAGTTTAAATTGTTCCTGCTTTCTCTTTTTATTTATTTTTGCTGAGTATGTTATTATCAGACCTCTAACATATGCTTTAGCCGTGTCCCAAATATTTTGCAAAGAGGTTTCTTCAGCTTTATTAACTTGAAAAAAAATAATTCCTTGGTTATTTCTTCTTTAAAATTTTTATCTTTTAATAAAGCTTTATTAAATACCCATCTGGGTGTTTTTGTTGTCCCTTTCAGGGCCATGGTTACAGGATCATGATCTGCCCAGATATTTGTATCTATTTCGGCTTCTAACAAGTCTGGAACTAAGTCTGGAGTTATCCAAATCATATCAATTCTAGACCATGACCTATGTCTGTTTGAGACAAAAGTATACTTAGCAGAAGGTAGATTTTTATGTCTCCAGGCATCTGTTAGTCTGAATTCTTCTAATATATTAAAACAGGACTTTGGAAGTATCCTCCTACCTTTCTTCCCCTTAGTCTCACTCTTGTGGTCTATTTTTTTTATCTACAATTGCGTTGAAATCTCCCATTAAACACAGAGTTTGGTAGTCCATTTGCAAAAGTAGAGTATGTACTTTTTGATAGAACGCTTTCTGGTGATCATTTGGAGCACAGATCACAACTAGAAGCACCTTTTTAAGTTTCATGGTGACTTCAGCCAACAAGATTCTACCATCTTCATCTGCTAGAATATATTTGGAATCTAATTTTTCCTTGATGTATAATGCCAAACCTCTTTTCTTTTGGTGAGCAGAAGATAGAAATAACTTTCCGAGTTTTGGATATTCCAAAAGCTTACTATGTTGTCTCTTAATGTGTGTTTCTTGCAGACAAATTACATTTAGTTTCAGTTTTTGAAGTTGAGAAAAGTCCTTCTCCTCTTAGAGGGTGCATTTAGTCCATTTACATTCAAAGAGAATAATTTGATTCCTCCTTCCATTTTAAAAGCCATATTTATAAAATATATGTTTATCTGTTTATGTTTAGCCTTCACGCTTCTCCTAGAACTTATTTTAGTTGGAGAGGTCTATCTGCTTCCTCTCATTGCTCCAATGGCCAGTGCATGTTTGTGTGGGCTTCAATCATAGTCTGCAATAACGTGGGATGGAAGAAGACCCTGTGCCAGCCGTCCTACCCTCACCCCACACAACACTTCCCCTACGTTCTTACCTATGCAGAGCAGTAAAAATGTTCTTGGTTGAAATAGCTTAGCTAGTCAGTAAGCATGGCCAACATCAAAGCAGCTCCTTCACTAACACCTGTGTTATGCTGATCTATGACCGTAATAAAATTAAATTGAACTAACTGTGTGCAGCAACTGCCTTTCCTCCTGTGAGGTTGTGCTACTAGAATGATCCTTAATTCCTATCCTGCAGGTATCTTAGTTTCCCACTCTGTTTGGGGGCATGTCAGGGAGTCTAAGAACCTGCAGTTTCTTGGCCTCTCCCAACATGTGTTCAAACTGCCCTGTTGTCAGCTCCATTGTTGGCAGACATTGGAGAGCCCTGCAGATGTCTAAGGAAACCTCCACCAGTGGACCAACCTTTCCATGGGTGGCTCTCCATGTCCAGTATCAGACAGGGAGGTCTACAGGACCAGTGACCCTTTGGCCAGCCTTATGGGAAGCATAAGATTGTTCCTCAACAGAACAGCTGAGGTGGAGCTCTGAAGGCTGATGAATGGAAAGGGAGGAGGCCCTTTGCCTGCCTGCTGCAGCTGCTGCAGCTATTAGAGCTTCAGGGCTGGCATACATTTCTCTCCATATTGGGAGTATATCTGGGTACTGGGAGGGTATTGAATCCTGCCCTTTGTGATCTGCCCAGGGCACCTCTCCTGCTCTCTTTACCTCTATTTAACTCAGGATGGTGAAACCTAAGAGGTTCCACAGGGCCTGGTAGGGAACATCTGACAGGGGACATCTCCACCTTCAAGGATGAGAAATATCTCTCCAGCCTTTTAGGGAGAGATCTGGTCTGATCCACTCTGATCTGATCTGATCCTAGTCTATCCTTGGAAATCTGACCTATCCTATCCTATTCTTGGAACTCCCTCCCAGGGACCCAAGAACTGCAACAGAATGTTTAAATGAAAAAAATGCAATTACCAATATCAAATTCCCATTAGCCTGACCCAGAACTGATACTTAAAAATGGATTCAATGGTATTTCTTATTCACTGGTGTGCTTTGAAAATAAGAGCATAAAGAGAAAGATATCCTCCCCATTTGCTTGCTTTTTATTTATTTGTTTGTTTCATTGTTGTCGTTGTTGTTATATATCTCTGTCTATGGTACACTTTATATTATTCTGGGTATATGAAATATATGACTTTGACTACAGTTAAGCCTTGGTAAATATCATTATTGGGTAAGATGTCTGTAAGAAGACTGGATGAACAGACTTGGTATTGTTCGATGGGGATGATGTGTATAAATTGTCAATACTTCTCCTAGTGCTTATTTTAAGTAACTTAATTTGTGGTCATACTATTTTGAAAATATTCTCAGTAAGTAATCAATTGTAACTTTGCATATTTTACTTTCTTTGTTTCAGAATAGGGCTTTGGGAGTGAAACAGATAAGTGAATTCTTTGAGGTGCACTTAAGTGAGGAAGAAATTCAAGGGGTTGTAGACAGAAGCAGTTTCCAGGCTATGAAAGAAAACTCTGAAAAAACCCATGGAACATTTGGCGATATCCTTTTCCGCAAAGGTAACATTCTAAACAGCTTCAAAGATTAAATGTATTTCCTGCTAGATTTTAAAAACAGGTGCTACTGCATGCTTCCAGCCTACGACAATTCCTATAATCTTCCCTCCCCTAAAAATATGCTTTTGTCAGATTATTTATTTATTTATTTATTTATTTATTAAAACATTTTTATGCCGCCCCATTCGCCGAAGCCTCGGGGCGGCTTACAACAAAAAGTTAAAATAACATTTTAAAATATAAACAGTAAAATACAAATATATAATATAAAACATACAATATAAAACAAGCCACCCTGGCCAAATAAAATTCAATAATATTAACATTTAAAATACTGCTTAAATAAAAAGGTCTTCGCCTGGCGCCAAAAAAACAAATAACGACGGCGCCAGGCGGACCTCTCTGGGGAGCGCATTCCATAACTTCGGCGCCACCGCTGAGAAAGCCCTCCTCCGAGTAACCACCCTCCTAACTTCTTCCACGGAGGGTTCCCGGAGAAGGGCCTCTCCCGCCGATCTCAGGGGGCGGCTGGGCATATAAGGATGTAAGCGCTCCTTCGGGTAACCAGGACCCAAGCCGTTTAGATTGCATTGTAGATATGGCTTCCATCTGGATGCATGGCTTCACCCACTAGTCTGTATCCAGAATATTGTGCTTTACAGATTGGTCTGCATATGCGAATGTTCAAATGAACCAGTTTTAGGCATCCATCTGGATTCAGAGAACTGTAGTTACATTGTCAGGCTCAGTGAGAACCGGAGCATGGGTCTGTATATACCTCTGATGAGAGCTCCCAAACACTAGGTGTTGGGAATGAGACTGCCAGGTATTCTTGGTGCACACTTCTGGGTTGTGCTGATCTGGAATCTGAATGAAGGGAAGGAGGCAGAGGAGGCCTGGGAAAGTGGCACTCCAGTCCTTGCGATGAGAGAATCAGAGCAAAGCTGGACTAGCTAGAGAAACTATTAGGTGGTCAAAATTGGCTGCTGAAGTGGACACAAAGAGTGCTCATCAATGGCACCTTCTCAAATTGGGTGGTGGTAACTAGTGGGGTGTCACAGGGTTCAGTCCTGGGCCCAGGGCTCTTCAACATTTTTATCAATGATTTGGATGAGGAAGTACAAGGAAAGATAATCAAATATGTAGATACACAAACTGGGTGGAACAGCAAAGATGCTAGAAAGAGCAAAGATCTTGATAAACACTGTGCTGAAAGCAACAGAATGAGATTCAATAAGAACAAGTGCCAAGTCCTCCACCTAGGAAAAAGAAACCAAATGGATCAATACAAGATGGGGAATAGGTGGCTCAACAGAACTGAAAAAGACAAAGATCTCAAAGTGTTTGTGGGCAATAGGCTAAGTAAGAGCCAAGAATGTGATGCTGCCACCAAAAGGACAAATGCTATTTTGGGATGCATTAACAGAAGTATTACTTAGAAGTAGTAGTTCCTCTATATTCCTCACTAATCAGACCTCATCTGGAATATTGTGTCCAGTTCTGGGCACCAAGATTTAAGAGATGCAGAAAAATTAGAAAGGGTTCAGAGGAGGGCAACAAAAATGTTCCAGAGTTTAGAAACACTGCCCTATGAGGAGAGACAGGGGGAACTGGGCATGTTCAAGCTTGAGAAGTCTGAGGGGGGACATGATATCCCTCTATAAGTACCTCAAAGGCTGTCACAAAGAGGAAGGTCAAGATCGCTCCTTGGTGATGCCAATGTGAAGGAGACAGAACAATCAGTTCAAGTTGTGACAACCCAGATTCAGGTTGGGCATCAGGAAGAGCTTCCTCACTGGCAGAGCAATACAACAGTGAATTCAGCTGCCTAGAGAGGTGGTGGGCTCTCCCACACTAGAGACATTCAGAAAGAAACTGGACAGCTACCTGAATGGGATGGTGTAACGTGGTGTCCTGCAACAGCAGGGGTTTGGACTTGATGGCCTTCATGGCCCCTTCCAGCTCTACTGTTCTCTGATTCTCTGAAGGCCCAGACCCATGCTCTTAGCCACTACACCGCTCTGGCTCTCAGATCAAGATGGGCACTGGTGGCAGCCTTCTGGCTGTACCCCTTGATTGGAAGACAGAGTTGTATGTGCCACCCAACCTGTCCTGGACCCCCTAAACTAGTGCAGTGCCTCTGGTATGGCGGAGGGCACTATCCCATCCCATTGTACATCTTGAAGTATGTTTAGAGTACCAGTCTTGCTGACTTTGGTAAAAGAGATGGCATTCGGTTGCCATCCTGCCCTTTGCCTCCAGCAGCAAAAATACCTCAGGCCAGCCACTTGTCTTACCTTCAGTTTCTGAAGATCTGTCTGGGCCCTCTTAACAGCACATAACCACTCAACAGTGGGCAGGATTCCCTAAATGCTTGGCTGCCTCTAACCTTTTAATGGGATTACGGATGCCCTGCCTGAAAGGCTGAAAAAACATAACAGAAAAAGAAATCTAAAGCTCTGGATTGTTTTCATTCTATTCCAGTTGAGGCATGCCATCTCTTTTTAAATGACAAATGTGTACTAGGAATTCAGTAGTGTTGCATATGTGCTTTTTGCTATAGTCCAGACATTACCAAGATAGTCCAGATATTACCCAGATGGAGTGGTATAGTACTATTCTATGATTCTATGAGCTTATCTGAAGGCCATTCTCCCCAGGTGCTCAGGCAGGCTCTGAGAAGAACCAATACGTACAGCTGTTGGGTTGGGGCATGAGAAGGGTGCTCTCAGAGTTGGACAGACCTCTTGATCCCATGATGGGACGTCGGAGAGAAAAGTGAGCCAGCTAGAGGGTTTGCATACAGGGAAAAGGCATGCTTGCTTCCAAAGGGATTGGGCCCTGATATACTCAAAAGGGGGGTTTCTGGAAGTAGTTGTTTAGATTGTGTTCAACAAACTTCTCTGCACATGCTCAGAGATACATTCTGTGGTGATTGAGTTTATTGGATATACTTTGGTGAATAAAGAACCTTTCACAAAGGAACTGTCTGTTGCCTTGAATGTGTGAAGGGAGGACAATCCCAGCTCATGACATGAGGCCTGAGAAAGAAATCGATTCAGTTCAGAAATTGATTTTAAGGTGAACTTAAAAATTTAAAACTTAAATTTTGCCATTTTGAAGTGGGACATGAGCCAAAACTCAGTTGTCCTTTGAAATATGTATATCGACAAATTTGTCAATGGATTTCTCCAATTTAAAAATGCTTACAAAATGTGTATTTCAGGGGAAACTGCAAACAAAAACACACATGTTGGTGAAAGTAACCTTGACATGCATTATATCAGGAACATAACTTGCAACATGATTTTATATTAGGTAAATAGCATGATTAGGAGAGATATGCCCACAAATATGCAAACCTAAATAAAAAATCTCAATGTTTGGAATGTGCTGAATTTAGGATTGGTACAATGAAGCATGGAGAGGAGCCAAGATGGCATCCAGAAGCCTTGTTCTATTGGGGGATGCGCCAGATTGAGGGTAGATGTTGGGGAGACTGCAAGAGGAAGGAAAAAGACAGGGAAGTTCTACTGTTAAGTGTTTGCCTTTTTGATCCATTTCCCTTTGTGTGGGTCATGGGGTGTGAATAGTTGACTTTGCTGATGCTACTTCCTATTTTGAACCTGACTCTGATTAGTGGTAATTCCACAAGCAGGAAGTCTGCTCACCCCTGTTGCAGAAGTAAGACATTTCATCGGAATGTATTGGTTGATAATATTATGGATGTTCACACATTTACTCTGTTCAGGTGCTGTTAGTGATTGGAAGAACATTTTCAATGAAGAACAGAACCAGAAAATGGATATGACATTTGAAGAACGCTTAGGTGGGACAAAACTGGGAAGAAAGTTAAAATATGAGGTGTACTGCAAGGATTGAGGTCAGCAAGAGAACTGCTGAAGCACCAGCCCCTACCCTGCAATCTCTTAATTGCTTTCCATATATCTGAAAGTAGGCACAAAGACCACAAAGCTGAATCATCTGCACTTGTGCCCAGCAGCAGAAATAGACTTCCTTGAAATTATGGGTGAGGGCCAGCATAGTACAGACGCATTCCTCCCAGCTTCACAACTAAAGTTCCAGGTATACTGGCTCTGCCCTCATTTGTTCTTCTTGTGCATGCTTCAGGTAGTCTTTTTTTATGTCCTGAATGTATTTTTATCAATATTGATTGATTATGCTGCTAATAAAAAATAAAACTGTTTAAAAACTTCAGGGGTTGTGTGTGTCCGTGTGTGCAAACAGATTTCCTGAAAACATCATGGCTGCTGGCCAATCAGTGCTGTGTTCCATCAGCTTTTGGGGCATGTTTTCCAGCTAGCCTTGGAAACAGAAGGTGCATTGAAATTCAGGTCGGACCAGCTTCAGGTATCCTCAGGGTGTGGGTGGAGATCCAGGGCCATGTCAAGGTGACTGGACCTTTTAGGCCCCTTTAGGAATGTTTTCCTTGCCACCTAGAGCTGAAAGACTGCCAGACAAATGTAGCAAAGACGCTGACATTTTCATTCTCCAGAGCCTACCTGATGTGGCTTCACTTTGCACAATGATGCATCTGGGGCATTAAAGTGGGTCCGTGCTTGTCTGCTGCAGCTGCCCAAGAGTCCTCTCAACCCAGTCACTCCATCACCTGGAAGACCCAGTGGTGCCCACCAGCTCTGGAGGAAGGACAAAGGCACCTGACCCAAATCTGGAGCTAGTTGGACTCAACATGCTGAGGGCAGTTCCTAAGTAATTCCACTGCTCTAATTTCCCCCCTGTTACTTTACACTATATGAGCATTTTCTAAATAAAATTGCATTTTTGATGGGTCTTTCCCCATTTGCCACAGCTCCTGCCAGGGCTCAGACTTGCGAGGGGCATGTCATAGCCCCCTGCCCCTGGAGGAATCCTCTCTGGAGGACACTCTAAAGCCTCTAGATCCACACATCCCCTTGGATGCCCGGGCTAATGAAGAACATCCTGCCCCTTTGGGACAGAGGGGTTCAGGTCTTCCCCTGGAGAGGTGGAAAACTCTCCTTCGAGTCAGAGAAGCGTGCTGAGCCATCAGCCAGCCCCTGGACATTGCTGCATCTAAAGCTACATGCTGGGACTGTGCCCAGGTGAAAGAGTGTCTCCTTGCAGAAATGGTCCTCAGGAGTAAAAGCCTTCTTATGAGCAAGGCTCTTCTTTGAGTAGGCTTCTGTCAGGGGCCTTGCGATGGCTCACTGCTTAGCCCTGGGTGGGACTCCAGGCGTTCAAGCTACAGAAGCCTTCAGCATGAGTCCAACCATTGCCGCCATTGCTGGAACAGCACAGGTCTTAAGTCCTACCTCACTCCAGCAGCTTGCTCAGGACTGACATGTAAATTATAGCAGGAAAAAGTGACTTGGAAAGTACACGTCAGCCAACTCCTATTTATCAGTACTCAAGGACTGAGACAGTTCCTTGAGGTCATTGTGCAAGAGAAGATCAAGGAGTGTCAGATATATGGCAGTGTCTGGCCTGTGAGAATAGAAGATATGCAAGGGTGTGTATTTCAGTCAGTGCATTAGACTGACTAAAGGCCGTCAACCACACGGCAGTCTGTACATGTCAATACGAAAGAAATAGCAAATCGTTTATTGCACAAATCAGCATCATATATAATTAAGTTCTGCCTCTACATCCTGACTTCAGTCCAGGGTGGCTCTCATAGGCAAAAGGTAGCATCTGTACAAAGTCCATACAATGGTCCGCAGCAGCTTCCCCTCATCACCGCTTTCACAAGTGGCTTAAACCATGTGTCTGAGCAGCCAGGTTGCTTCAGAAAGGGCCTTTGTCACACATCTTGGGTTTTCCTGTTGGTTGCACAGGTGTAGCTGTGATAATTTCTCTATAAGTAAAATCTGCCCTGTTTCCGAAGAATTACATGCTGAGGGGCCTCAAGAAGATGGATGCTGTGCTCCTGACCTGTTTACCTGATACTTTTATTCCACGGAGCTTCACTCTCACACTAGGCATCTTCCCACACTGTGTGCTGGACGTTTTCCTTCCGCAGGGCTCCTCCAGCATAGACTTCCCGCTCAGATACTTAGCCACATGTGCAAATTATTGGGGACTCGTGCCTGCCAATGTTTATTGCACAGCCTACCGTTAAAATTACAGGATTCACTCCTGCAAGATGCAGTAACTTCCACCTGTCTGGATGGCCTTAAAAGGGGGTTGGAGTGATTCCCGAAGGAGGAGGGTAGCAGGCACTGCTAGTGCTGCTGGCTGAAACCGGTGTGGTGGTGGAGGGGCTGCTGTGAAGGCCACCAACCTCCATGCCTCATCCTTGAAATAAGGATGCTTTGGGACCATTGTACCGAAGTTAACAGAGATATCTGGGCCTCTTCCCACCCTCTCCCTGCTGTCACTCAGGAAAGGGGATTCCCCTGTGTATGCTGACAACTCTGAAACAGCAAGAAAGGACCTTGATAGTATCCATGGCAGAGGAAATTGTTCCCTTGAGCTTTCTGTTTAGGGCGAAAAGCATGCAAGCACCTAGCCAGCAAAGAGCCCAGGAGCAACACCTGTCCACCAGGACGCCCAGTGACTAAGGGCTGTTTCTTGCTTGTGTCAATCCTCTACATCCCTCACTCAATAAGCTTCCTATCATTTTTGACACACGTGTCCTCACTTCTTCCTAAGTATCCATGAATCCAAAGGGAGGTGCTTTTGCAGGACCAGGGCTCCGGGGAAACCACAGTGAATTTTCTGCTAGCCACTCGGTTTGCTGGCCATGACAGTCTTCTATCTGAAGATGTCTTCTGTTCGATGGCTGTCCAGCCCAGGTCCACCTTAAGACCAGCAGGGATTTTGCCTGCCAGAAGACACCTACCAAAAAGTAAGTGAGATGGACCACTTTCCTTCAGATATTCTAACGATGTGGGGGGCACTGAACCTGGGGGCCTGCCTGAGGGCTGCATTCCATTTCAGAGAAGCTCCTGGGGGGCACAGTGCAGTGGTGGAGCCAAAGGCAAAAGAGGGCAGGCTCCAATAAACCTGCCTAAAGTTCTCACTGCCAGCAACCAAGCCTTAGGAGTGGCATTTCTACCATTCAGAATGGGGCAAAAGGCAGCAGGAAACCTGGGTGGCTGGCAATCACTGGTTGGCAGAAAGGGTGTGGAATCAGAGGATGGGAACATGGCAACCTGCTTGGAGGATGGGGGCATGGACACCCGAGCAGGTTGCACTTTGGCCCTCAGCACTGAGGTTCTGCGCCATTGTTCTAAACCCTGGGTGCGGCCACTAAGAAGACCCTTCCCTGAGTTCCCGCCAAGCACAGAGGTGAGCCTCTTCAAAAGCTCTTAACACCTGGGCAGGTTTGTATGAAAGAAGGTGGTGCTTCAGGTACCTAAGTTCTAGAAAGGCTTTATAGAAAATAATCAGTAATTTAAATTCTGATTTAATGCCTAGAAATGTGCTAGAGTGGTAGGCGTGGGCTCAGGCCGCCGAAAAGTGGGCAGTCTCAATGGCTTGGCTGTAGTATTCTGAACCAGCTGACTTCAAAGGCAGCTCCAGGCAAAGTGTGTGACATTAATCCAAACAAGATATCACTAAGGTCTGTTTTACCATGGCTAGATCCACCTTCTCTAGGAATGGGCATAGTTAGCACATCAGGCCAGCTGAGCAAAAGCATGCCTTGCCTCTGCTGAAACCTGGGCATCTTGGTCTACATATGGATGCAAAAGTAGCCCCAACACCAACCTGGTTTTGCCAAAACAGACCAAGCCCTTATTCTCTGATCTGACTTTGATCTGACCTTAGGCAGTTCAAAGTTCCGTTTTTCCAGGATTAAATTTCAGTTTGTTTGCCTTGCTGTTCTCAACTGCAGTCAGTTATTTGACCTTATAGATGATAATCTCTCACTCAGATCCCAGGCCAAGCAGGTTTGTCAGTCATTAACTGGAAAATTGTGGGCAAGAAAAACGTGTCACTTTACAGTGTACACTCAAAACTGAACCTTTAAGAGCATGCCCTATTTGCATATTTCTGAAGAACAAATTTAGAATTCTTGCTTGGAGTTATAAGATCCAGGGAGTTAAAACTAGCTTCCTAGATTATTGACCACTCCTAGAGAAACTGTAGGCAGCCATGAAGTCCCTGGAGAAAAATGGTACCACAGACCAGGAATAGTTTTCCTGCTGTCACAAAGTGGGGAGGAAGCTTCTGAGTTATCCATAAATCCCTTTTAGGCTGGGAGTTGAACAAAATAGGCAGCTGCAGAGGGACAGTTCTTAGAGAATCCTTTTTCCTTGGTCTTCAATCTGCTCTATGAGGATAAATATGCACCAGATGCAATCCTATTGCCGCGTGTTGCATGCTGAAAACACTTCTGTGCCCTACAATGGCCAATATAGCCAAGCATTATAATGCTCCTGATGCGTTTTTGCACCCACTTCAAGCAATCTTCCCACTGTGCATACTGGGGATGCCAGAATCACACTGGATGATGCAGGAGGAATCGTCTGATATGGCTGATTCTGAATACAGTTTAGTGCATTTTCTTAATGGGTCCTGTGATCCATTCTTAGACCCACTCTGTCCATTATTGGTTTTTGCTTCTTCTTCCTCATCCTCTTTGTTCTTCTTTCTCTTTGCCTTACTTTCCTAGAAGTTGACATGTTGAGCTGAAGAGATCAAGTTCAAAGGCACTGCACCACCCAGTGCCATATCCTGGTATCTGAAGGCCCTCGAGCAAGACATCCTCCATGGACACTCTCTAAGTAAGTCTACCATCTTGCTCCCTTGTCACCATTCCTGCTCTTCCTTGCTACCTCTTGCTTGCTTGCTTGAGAGGCAGAGAGCCAGTGCGCAAGCAAGCAGGGCCACCTCCTGCTCCACCTTCTCCACCACCATCGTCAGAACCTGAGCAGGAGATAGAATAACCCAGGAATCCAGCTCTTACCTAACTGGTAGGTAACCATGTGACCTTGGCAGTTCCCAAATGTGCCTACACAAGACGCCAGTCTTAGCATTAGTAACTATGCTCTGAAAGCATAGTTACTGGCTTTTGTGTACATTGAGTGTGCAGGCCATCAGTTAGCATTAGAAATGTGTTTCTGCCCTTTTCTCCTTAATGGCTTTCTGTATGAAGGGAAAAAAATTGAAGTGGGAAAGCAAAGGAGGATTATGAATGGAAAATACCAACATCCTGAACATCTGTAAAATTCCATGAAAGAGTTCAGGCAATGCTGCAAGAAAATACTGGAGGCACCCAAAGTGTTTTCTAGATGCTCAGCTACTTGAGCATTTAATTGTAACTTGACCTGCAGTGTGTGCCTAATGTGGTTCACTGTCTTGAGTGACCTGCCTTGCATGTTCAGATCTCTGCCACACATTCACAGATCTCATACCCTGCGGACTGGCTTCCTTCTTTGAGCTATCTCCAATGGATGCACGGAATATTTCTAAGAGTAGAAATGCCCTCAGCTTCAGTGTTTCCCTTTTGAAAAATGGGTAAGCCATTTGTGCAAGCTTCATTTCCTACAGCTGTGTAGCATGCACACATGTTCTTCATGTGACTTGACATGCAGATCGTGGTTGAGCTCGCGTAATGTTAATTCGAATGACAAGCTTATACTTGCTTACCCTAGTCTGGATTGTGTAAAGTTGATCTGTGTGAGTGCAGTATGGGTGGCCACACCTGCGTGGAAGAATGCAGATGTTGAACACAGAAGGTCCCAGGTGTGATCCTGGCATTTCCATGAAGAGCTGGGAAAAAACCCTTCTGAAAACTTGAAGAGCCAGGGCTAGTCACTGTCAATAATACTCAACTAAGTGGACCCATGATCTGAGTCAGTGACCCGGTTCACAGGCCATGGCAACCCACCACAGGCTGCAGTGCAAGTGCGATGCAGCTAAAGCTTCTCTTAGTCCCATCGTCTGGCAATGCCCAAGGCCGCTTTCCTTTCAGGAGGAGGTAGTAATCTGGATAAATTTTGTGATGGAAATTTATCTAATGTTTATGGATATCCACATTCTTCTTAACTATGTGTCCACCTCTTGGAGCTTAATGCAAAGTCAACTTGGATTTTTACTGCCCTTTGGACAGCTAAAAGACTAATGTTACAATGCTGGAAGTATAAATAGCCACCTACAATAAAACGAAGGCTGAAGGACTTGATGAAAAATTTGATTTTCAAGCAGGTAATTTTCAGGTATAATTTATGCCTCTCCCACACCTGCCCAAGAAGCAGTTGGAAATGACTTGGTGTTGAATTTCTTCCAACCATAATCAAGAGTGGTTTTTGGCTCCCTGATGCTTTTTTGCCCTTTAACACCCCCCCCCCCCCACACACACACACACATAGCAGATCACAAAAACTGGCTTGTAGATTACCTTTTATTTTGGTAACCACCGACAGTCCTTTCAAAGGGCCCAAACAGGACTTTTGGAGGAGGGCTCTCAGAGTTTTGTTTGCTTGCTTGTTATGTGCACAGAAGTGTGGAGACAGATGTTGTTATTTTTCCATTTCTTTTTAAACACACTTACACAAATATAGACGCTCATAGTTCTGCAATTGCAGGTATTTGAAGCCTCATCTGGACATGTCCTGGTTTGGGGGGATGACCTGCTCCCCAAGTGCAGCAGGTGCCAACCTTGGGCATTGCCACAAAGAGGCTCCGATAGGTTCTTTCCCCCTTCGTTCTTCCTTGACAGCTTTCAAAAGGCAAGCTATCAAGAGAAAGTATGATGCAAGAGATCTTTGCTCCCAAAAATGGGGTGGCTTGATTTACACTCCCTTCTCAGCAAGATCCTCCACTGTATGTATGTATGTATGTATCAAAAGCTTTTCTATCCCGTTCTCTACAGAATGTCTCAGGACAGCTTGCAATAGATAAGTAGAATAAAACAAACCCCGACAGGCTTCAAGATGAGACACATTTTGCACTTTTACTGTAACTCCAGTCAGGGCTTTTTTTGTCATAGAACGCACCGGAACAGTGTTCCGGCACCTTTTTTTCCAATGGATTTTACGAAGTGATTTTGAATCGCCTGTCGGCGTAGCAGGTCAGCAGGAAACATCATTAACCCAGTGCCTGTGGGCTGCTTTTGTGTCCTCGCCGCCCGGCTTGGGACGCTGGTCGGCTTGGGATTGGTGCGTGTGGTCGCGCGCTCAGTGCTTACTGCCGGTGGCGACGTGAGTTCGGGCACTTTTTTTTTTTTTTTACAAAAAAAGCACTGACTCCAGTTATTCACAAACGTGTAAATGTCCTTCCCACCCCTTTTTCTGGGGGGAAAGGAGTTTTGGCAGCATTGATAGCTTGCCCCCAAACCTCTGGGCCCCTTTCCAAGGGGCTTTTACTTGAGCAATGGGTGGGGAGTTGGACTGGGGCATGTGTCTGTACATAGATCCTATTCGATTCCCCCTTGCCTTATCAATCCCCTTTTAAAGAAACCAGAGTTTTGACAGGAAGTTCTGAAAACTCCTTTTCACAAACAAAGAAAGGAGAAATGCATTTTGCACTGTCTGTGCACCAATTGTAAAAATGTGCCCAACTCAGGACTAGAAAAAAAAAGTTGGAGGTGGAGTCTTCTTTTTGTCCCCCTGCAGGCTGCAGTTTGTTGAGCAAATAAGAAGACCATATATAGAGCCCTTGCTCATTCCATATTAGCAGGAATTGCAAACTTTTCACTCATCCTGTATCGGACTGGACTTCAGATTGCTGCCCAGGCAAGTACTAATGCATTGCAAAATAAGCAACTACAGAAAAACACTGAGAAATGCTTGAGAAGCAAGGTTATACATTTGGGACTGAAAGGCAGGGAGAGGGGAGAGACTCAGGGAGGTCTCTAGGTTTTGTGGCTTTGTTTGTTCAGGTTTTCTCATGTTTGTCTACATGTCAGCCCAACCAGAAAAGACATTACAGAAGTCTGGGACCAGCTAAAAACAGCACCAAACTTTAGAGCATCTGCCAAAAGAAATATGTGCAGCTCCGCCTTGATTTGTTTTTAGAGAGACCTTAAAACTGTTTCTTTCAATGGCATCTATTAAATGTGTGTGAACTGGTTGTAACTGTTTTTGTAATTTATAATTTTAAGGATTGTTCGTAAGCTAACCAGAGAAGGTAGCTTCAAGCACTTTAAATACGTACATTGAATAATGGGTGTATTTTAGCTGAGCTGTGTCTCTCGCGTTCTTCACAGAGTCATTCCACGATCAGGAAAAAGAGAAAGAAGAAAAGAATCGTTTTAAAATGCCGTACGTTAGAAAAAAGTTCATTGAGATTCTAGAAAAGGCAATGGAAGAGGGTGAAAAGATGAGTCAAGAAGAGAAGCTATTTACTTATGACGGAGTTGTGTACCCTGTAACTCTCTGCAGCCCAGAGGTCTTCAAGGCTCTTGAGTCCTTTGAAGCACGGAGTGATGATATAATTCTAGCAGGATACTGCAAATCTGGTGAGTCTGGTTCTTTCATATGAAAAAGGAAGATAGGGCACACCAAGACAGACTTGAGTCTCAACTTTTATGAGAAGTAACGCGCGACAGCAGTGCGATCTAAGTGGAGTTGAGGGTTGAGACTGGAATGAAAACATGGGGAAAGTTGGTCCAGAATCAATGGCAATATAGATTTTGCATCTGCATTTAGCTGTAGGCAAGAAAATGAACAACTCTTAAAAAAAGCTGCCCAGCCTTGGGCATTTGTGTCCCATGGTTGCATGGTTACAAATTGGGTTGCAAACAGAAATTTCAGAAAAAAATTGCCACAGGTCGCACACTCTGCATCGGGTGACAATCACGATTGTGCCCGTCTTCCCTGTACGATCATGGTCGTGCTGGGGGGGGGGGGGGGGGGGGTGTCATTGAGGTGGGGGGGGGGAGGTGGCCGCGGTCGTGGTGGGGGGGGGGGTGGCTGCAATCTTTTTTGTTCTTTGTTACTTTGTCGTTCATTGTCACTTTGTTTCAAATTTTTGTGATTAAAAAATGGTTACAGAATGGATTAACCTTATTTCCCCCCCCCATTTTATTTTATTTTTAAATACAGAAAAAGAAACATAAATACAATACGACAATAATGTTACATACAGAAACTCAATTAGTAATTAGAAAAGTAAATGATAAAGTGCTCCCACCACCCCGGAGATCAATACTACCTCCACTTAATTCACATATTATAACAATTAATAATATACTTCAATTATATCCATATCCCCTCCAGAAATTCATATAATCTTGACTAGGTTTGCAACCTTTACCTTCTATCAGTACTGCTTTTACAAAATCTTCCCAAATTTCCATATATTTATTTGCTTTCATTAACCCTTCTGTCATCAGTTTTTCATTAATTACCATATTCCATATTTCATTATACCATTCATGCCTTGCAAAACCCAATTCTGTTTTCAGTATTTAACTATCACTAACTGGATTAACCTTATTTACTTTGACCCTTCTGGGGAAATTTGACCTGGCTTATGACCAATTTGGGTTGCAGCCAGAATCCTGGAATGGATTAAGTTTGTGACCAAGGTACCACTGTAAATGGGCCAAAATCTGATTCTTAGGGGGCAATCTAGTTCCTATGTAGACAAAACAAGTTCTACAGCTCCCCAGCTCATCATGCAGGCCGGAGAGTGAGGGAGTGGCCATAATTTTTCCTTCCTAAACATCACTCCCTGACTGATTTGAAGCCTGTGCAGAAGAAATGCAGGAGAGGTGTCTACAGGGAGGTATCTCCTCCCAAGTAAGCAGGGCTGCGTAGCTCAGCAGCACTTTCAGTCAGCATCCCAAATCTCATCCGAATGCACCAGCAGCGTGTCTGTTCAGAGGTAAACTGGTCAGGCCTGGGCAGATCTCCATCAAGCTAAGCGGAAGCACCTCGTGGTACCCTCTGATAGCACTCCAAGGGCCATGCCTCTGCAAAACGAGTCAGAGGGAAATAGGGCAAGGAGAGGAGAAGGGGTGGGCTGCTGCCACCACCATCGCTGTGGTCCTGGAGAGGCAGGGAAGTAAGAGCAGCAGCTGGGAGGAAGGAAGGGCAGGAGGTGGGGCAGTCCCTGAGATGGGGGTGGGGTGGGGTAGGGTGGGAGACTTCTCCTTGGCTGCAAACGAGGTGTGGAGCACTGGCCCATAATCCCTTGCAGGCAATGAGGGTTTATGCATCATTTGTGCAAAAGAAAGGATCCCTCTGAAAGAAGGCATCTTTCTTGTGGAGCATGTCAGATGGAAGGCAGGGGAATGGCAGAGGTGGAAGGTGAGTACCTAAGATGTGGGACTAGAGTCAAAGGTGTGGGGCATGACTAAGAGAATAAGACCACAGAAAAACTCAGCCAGTTTAGTCACATTTCAAAGTCTTGTTCCCAGCCTAGTCTTAGTTTAGCATAGGGATTGGACTAAGCGATTATCCAGGGCCCATCAGCTCTGTGATCACGAACGGCCTGCAAATGCCGCCTGTTAAAGAAAAAAAGGCCCAAATTGATAGGTAATTTGTTTTCTGAAACCCACCAAACTTCATGCCTATGAAATAACTGGTCCTCCATTTGTTGTGCATAGTTACAAGGTAAAGAACAAAAATGTTCTACTTCCAGTTCTTTATTTCTTCCAGGAACCAACTGGGTTGGCCAGATTGTTACTGATTTAGTAGTCACATCTGCAAAGAAACATGAACCACACAAGCTGAATGAAGAACTGTTACTAGCAGAAATTCCTTATATTGAAATTGGAGATCCTGAAAAGTATCAGGTTAGCCATCTTCATTTGTACAGAAAGTTGGATTGTCCAAACATAATTGGCAAGGGTTGATGACATCAGAACCCCGCACCTCTCCTGTGCCCTTTACTTTTTCCTCATTTAAGGCTTCCTCCACCTTTAGCTCCCAAAGTCTAAATTGAAGTGCACCTCCTTATGAAACTGAGGCTCAATATTGAGGGGGTGCAAATTCCATGGACATTGCCATGGAATGTCCACTCACTTGCATGGCTTCCAGTGCTCGACCTCACTGAGGAAGCCGTGCATTTCTGCAGATGTCCTAGAGTTCCCTCATGGTTAGTCCTGCAAAGTCCACTCTCCTACTGCTCCTCCTCGTCCCCTTCTCCTTCTCCTTCTCCTTCTCCTTCATTACATTATATTTCTATACCACCTATGGCCAAAGCTTTCTGGGCAGTTCACAACATTGAAGTCACCCATCCAGACTTCAACCAGACATGACTGTGCTTAGGTTCCAAGATTAGGCATGATCAGGCATTTCAGGCTATACGGAAATATTCTTGATAGAGGAATTTAGTTGCACATGGTGGGACTGGTGGGGACAAGCAAAGACTTAAAGAAGGTGCGAGAGAGGGCATTGCTGAAAAATACTCACAGGGAATGCTTTCTGACATAGTTCGAAATGTTCTGCAAGCAAGCAAACCTAAAAAACAAAACCCAACCCCAAATGATTTTGGATCTGTCTTTAATGGAAAGACTATCTTTATAGAAAGCCCAAGTAGCAATTTACCTGCATTTATATCTCACAATATTCAGTGTTCTCTTAACAGTGTCTCTTATCCAAAGGTGATGAGGAACACTAGATCAAGAGCCAGTAAAAAGTATAGTGCATACAGCACTTGGAAGATCTGGGTTTAATTCTATCACTGTCATAAACTTAGTCATTTTGGGATTAAGGCTTGTCTACAGCCTCAGTTGGCCATCTGTTAAATAGGATAATAATGTTCTACCTTAGAAGCTGGTTGTATGTACAATAATAAATCATGTTCTGTATAGATCCCTCATGACAGTGATATGGTAGCTACAGAGGCTCCAATCTATCCTCAAGGCACCCATGTGTATAAAAGCTTCCTCATTTATTTTAGTGCAAGGAGCAACTCCATGCACACAAAACTATATCCACTGAGACAACAGAGTATTCAGAAACTCTGGATCATATGTATTTGTGTATATGATATTTTATGTTCTTAAAATCTAGGTGATACCTTTCCATTCTTCAGAAGGTTGAAAATGTTCTGAAAACTCCTCCTCCTCTTGTTCCTTCTTCTGCCACAGTCTTGAATTATCTGACAGTTTCCTCACTGTCAGAGCAATACAACAGTGGAACCAGCTGCCTAGAGAAGTGGTGGGCTCTCCCGCACTAGAGACATTCAAAAAGAAACTGGATGGCCATCTGAGTGGGATGGTGTGACATGGTGTCCTGCAACAGCGGCGGGTTGGACTCGATGGCCCTTCCAGCTCGACTGTTCTACGATTCTCTGTTGATAATATAAAAACGCAGATATTCACCTCCACAATATATCAGGGAATGAGTTCTGAAGTTGAGTAAACCCATCCCCCAGGCTGGCTCGCTCGCTCGCTCGCTCGCTCGCTCGCACGCGCTCTCTCTCTCTCTCTCTCTCTCTCTCTCTCTCTGGATGTTGTGCCTTTCTGGAGTGAATTGGTGGCTGATGGTGAGGGCTGCCACTTGTGTGCCTCCCCTCCACCTACACAGAATGTCCCCAGATAACATGAATTCTGGGATTAAAAATGGCAGCCACCAAAAAGAGTTGCAGTGCCCCTACGATTACTAAAGAGGTGGCTGCAGGAACAACAACAAATGTTTTCGAAAAGAAGTGGCTGATTTCCCAAATGATCTGCCTGGGAATTGCTCAGCTGACAGAAGCTTTAACTCGTATGTTGAAATTATTGAACGAAGTTTCAAAAGAATAAGGCAAAAGTCAATACTGTCCAAACAGTGCTGCTGTTGGCAAACAGCACACGAGACATTCTAGCATCTCTTGGTCATTACCATGAAGGAAATGTGTTTCCTTTTTGCTTTCTTCCTCATGCTGGTTTATCTTGGTCCTGAAAGAGGATGAAAACCTATCCGTCCAGGAGAGTGATCTTTACTCACCTTCGCCCAGATAAGCTTCCAGTATCTGTTTTCGAGAACAAAGCCAAAGTGAGTAACTACTTGAATGCACTGTAATCCTAGGAACTGTAATATTTTCTTTTAACGGTACCCTTTCATACGACATAAACAAACCATTACAAAAAATCTCATTATATGGCTACCCAAGCAGGTGATCGGGTCATCATTTTCCATGTTTGCACAACAATTATTCATGCCCATTGCCCAGTCATAATGTTGAGGTTGGATGGTGTACGTTACTCCAGTTCTGCCCGGCCATCAGATTCCGCACCAGATCCTGTTAACATTGTTGACGTATGGATTCCGTAACATGCTGCACATGCTGTTTGATCGTCTAGTAGTACTTAGGCAAGGGGCGGCATAGAAATGTTATAATAATAATAATAATAATAATAATAATAATAATAATAATAATAATAATATAGTACTCTGGTACTGCATTGTACCATGATAGCTTTGTATTTGCTCATCTATAGGTGTTTTTCAGAAAAAAATCCTTTCTAGTGCTTCTTAAAATTTTGCAAGTCCTGTGCCCATTGTATTCCTGTTGATCATGGCTTGAGGTTTTGTACTGAATCGCCCCTTAATTGATCCGAATATTTGCTTTTGTTTCTGTGTGATACAAGGAAGGTTCAATTTTTATTTCTTTTTCTTGTTTTCTTTTCCTTTTTCAAAATAATGAAAATAATGAATTGGTCATTGAAGCTTCTTGCACAGGGACAGAAACGAACACTGTGGCAATAAAGTAAAGCTACTCAAGGAACAATTAAGAGGCTATTTATCACTCCTTCATCATTCCTGGTGGGCTTCCCACAGGCATCTGGCTGGCCACTGTGTGAGCAGAATGGTCTTCTTGCCTGCTCAGTCCACCAACCATGATCAAGAAGAAACAATAAATCAGGCAGAGCCTACAGCAAAGGAGCTTTCAAATTCAAGCTGCGGGAGACCCGCAAGGCCTCAGTAGCACTTTGTGCAACCTGAATAGACTGGTACTGTCATTGCAGACAAAGGTAACATAAGGCATATTGCTTATATATTAATTTCTGTCTTTTCTGTATGAAACCCAGCATGTTGGTTTACAAAATATTCAGAACATAAGACAATAATCAGGGAGAAACATAATAAAACATTAAAGGTAACATTAGAAGCCATAAAACAAATCTAAAAGCCATAAAACAAATCTAAAAGCCATAAAACAAATTTAAAAGCCAAGATAAAATGTGTCTTGACTGCCTTTTTGAATGTCGTAACTCCAGGAAGAGGCATTTTGGGGATTGGGAGCAGCATGGGAAAAAGTTCTGTCCATGTAAAGGTGATCTTCAAAAGGGCTTCTCCTGGTGATCTTAACAAACGAGTAGTTTCATAATGCAACAGGCTCTCCTTGAGACAACAAAGCCTTAAGATGTTTAGGGCATAAACTTACACATGTTTAAACAGGGAAAAAAACTGGTTGTGGAATGATGGGCGTTGTAGAACTTTTCTTTTCTCTATCCAAAGGTAGAACAAAGGTGTTCTTGCCCCTTTTCACCTTATAAAGCAATAGTCACACATCAGGTGTCATTCCCCCCCCCCCCCTTTTTTAAGAAGATGCATGAAATCTACTCTGAGGTCAAACTCATTAAACTCCTTATGAAGAAAATACAAATAACAGATGCAGGAAGCCTTAGGTGTAATCATATCTTCTAAGAGAGTTGTCCACATATTTCAGCAAAAGAATCATATTGCAGGTGTGTTGTGCTAGCCTTAACTTTTCATCCTAGTGCTGAGATCTCATCCCGTGCCCTCTGTTGTTCCAGGAGCAACCAATGATACAGCACAACTCACAATGTGGGTTGTGGAAATGAGGTTTCCGACAGCTTTCTGTAGCCTGGCCTGGTCCAATTTGCATCGCAGGTGAAACCCATGCGTCTCTGTACTTGCCAATCAGTAGCTAAATTGACAGCATGGAATCAGAAGAACAACATGTGGCACCTAGAATAAGTTACATCTTCTAAAGGCTACAGTTCCATCCTTTCTAATTTGTCATTCTCATGTTCTGTTTTTCAGATAGTGCTGCTGATTCGGAATCCAAAAGATGTTACTGCATCTTTTTTCCATTTTTGCAATACCTTTGCTGCATATCCGCCTTATGATACATTTGATGCATATTTTCGAGCTCAAATGGAAGGACAAAGTATATTTTCCTTTTCTATCAATGTCAGCTAATACATATGTCTAATACATATGCAATCATAGACACTGAATGTCTCCTATGAAGACAGTAAATGCTAGATACTATAGAATCAGTTTATCTTGCATCTTGGAATGATTTTTCTATCCTAGGCTCACTTTCGTTGGCAACTTACACATAATTAGATCTGCAATATAGTCCTTCTAGGATATTGTCACTTGCAGAATAGCAAATGATGCAGAGTAGGAAACAAAATTTTGCTGCCTGTTTTTCAGAATTTTCTTTGTATAAACTTTTCTTACTATAAATATTGTCGGAGCTAAAAACAGAATAACAATAGCCCATGGGACACAAAGCAAAATTTACTACAGGCCTTCTTTGTTTCTTTGATTGTGAGGAAGAGGAGTATACCAGTCCTGCAAAGAAAGATAGAACCTAATAAGCAGTGCTTTTTTGGTAAGAAAAAAGGTGCCACAACTCATGAAATTATTTACCTTTCACACATAGTCAATCACGGTACACACACCCACACATGTCAGTTGTGTAATGAAACATAACAGTCGCCACCCGCAGTAAGCACTCAGCACGCGACCACACGACCAATCACGAGCCGAGCAGCACTATCACAACCAGAGTGGATGAAGTACGCGTGCATCGGACGTGACGCACAAGCAGCCCGCATGCACCATTTGAATGATATTATTATTATTATTATTATTATTATTATTATTACATTTCTATGCCGCCCCTTGCCGAAACCTCGGGGCGGCTTACAACACGATAAAATACATTGAAATACAATAGCACATAATAAATTACCATTAAATACAAAAATACAATAAATACATTGATTTACAAATATAAGATTAAAATTATCAGTATAAATTAAGTAAATAAAAATATAGAAGGAGAAAGAGAAGGAAGAAGAAGTTGCCCTGGCCAGATCATATGTTTTAACAATTAAAATGATGTTTAAATAAAAAGGTCTTTACTTGGTGCCGAAAAACAACCTGCTATGCTCGACAGGGCGATTCAAATCCCCATGGACCAAATATCAAATTTTCAAAAGTTACTTTTAAAACTTGGAAAACCCGTCGAAAAAAGGTGCTGGAACTCTGTTCCGGTACATTCTATGACAAAAAAAGCACTGCTAATAAGTGAACACATTGTTATGCTGCTTTGATGTTTAAAGACCAAAGCATTGTTATGTTGAATGGAAGTAATAGGCAAAGCATTCTGTAGTTGACTGTACCTTGAGGCAGGAAGAATTAAGTCTTAAATTACCGTACTAACTAAAACCTAAAATCTGTTCTTATTCTGACTGTAACTTCTTAGGGGAAACAGTCAGGCAACAATGGCCTTTCATAGGTAGAGTAAGTTTGGACAGAGACAACTTTGGGCCTAGGATACAAAAAGACCCCAGAAACAGTGAACATTAGAATGAAGGTTAAAAGTGCTTCATTGCACATGTTTGTGTGTCTGTTGGCTTCATTTGCTTCATTGCAAGGGGGCAAGGAAATGCACAGACATGAACAAGGAACATGATCAGACAGAAGATCCAGAAAAGGATCCACAAAAGAAGTTCCAGATAATGAGCAGAGCAATTTGGATTGCTTATTTGCCATGAATTATTGTGCTCTGAGTTGTAGTTGTCACTGACAAAAATGGAGTGAAAACTAACATTACATATTTAAGCTCTGAGTTCATGTACCCCCTCCTCTCCCCTCCCCTCCCCTCCCCTCCCCTCCCCTGTTGAATTTGCTTCCATAGTTCGTTACTATGCCTTAACTGTCATTAGTGTTAGCTATGGTTTGTCCAAACAAGCAGATTTCAAACCATGGTTAATAATCTTGGTTTGTTTGACTAAACCATAGTTAATGCTAAATACAGTTCCCTGGTTTATTCAGGAATTATAACAAGATATCACTAGATGGTCTTCTTGTGGTTATTACATGCAAACCAGGCATTTATGTTTTCCTTAGACATTGCCTCACTTGCTGCTGGAAAAGATAAGGTCCTAGTTCACATGTCCGTTGGAGGATTCAAAATCAACATTTCCCCCTTACTTTTTATTATTATTATTATTATTATTATTATTATTATTATTATTATTATTATAACATTTCTATGCTGCCCCTTGCCGAAGCCTCGGGGCGGCTTACAACACAATAAAATACATTGAAATACAATAGAACATAATAAATTACCATTAAATACAAAAATACAAAAAATACATTGAGTTACAAACATAATAATATAAAATTAAAATTATCAGTATAAAATAAGTAAATAAATAATATAGGAGGAGAAAAGAGAAGGAAGAAGAAGTTGCCCTGGCCAGGTCATATATTTTAACAATTAAAATGATGTTTAAATAAAAAGGTCTTTACCTGGCACCGAAAAACCAGTAACGACGGTGCATCCAGACTGATTCTCCCCTTGGGGAAGTAATCATGTGTGCCTTACTAACTCAGAGATCCTGACTGTCATGCCATCATAGATCCTGTCCTGTCCTTTCCAGATGTAATTACCATATTCTTCTCTCAGTGTTCCTCAAACTCATCTTGCTGTTGGAACACAAAGATCTGAATTCGGGGTTTTAAGCAAAAAGGCAGACATTTTACATAAAAAGATAAATACATATGCTCATGACCAACCCACAGCACAATGGGCAGGCATGATAACTGCAACTTCAACAAATCCCAATAAATAGAATTTATTTGTTCCCTCCTATTTGCCCAGTCAGGGTTCGGAGACAGAATCACCTTGCATAGTGATGATCTTCCAGGATTAACTCAGGCCAACTCACCTGGTTCAGGCAACATCCCAGAGACTTCCTTCACGCACACACACACACCAGAGTAAAGTGAACATAGTGAACATATTTATTATCTTAGCTAAGCAGCATAAAACTTTCATTAGTTTGAATACATGACAATATTTAGCCAAAAATAACCTGGTAATATATTTGTTCCCCAGAACAATGGGAAAAAGTTTGGATAATGAAGTGCCTGTGATTTGTTTTGAGTCAAGTAATTTCCATGGATACAAAAATGGGAGTGAATTTCTCTGTGCATGAGCAGAAAACAGTCAAGAGACAGTACTGCTTTCCTTCATCATGCACCATCCTAACATGGGAGCAACAGTCTAACATCTTATAAAGCCTCCCACACCTGGCACCCTACTAATGTTGGGGGGTGGCATCTTTCACCATGCCTAACCATTGGCCATGCTGGCTGGGGCTGATGCATATTGTAGCTCGAAACATCTGTAGGAGACCAGGTCAGCTGCTTAATGACTCAATCTGAAGCTCACATGAATAAATGGTTTTTTTTAAAAATCTGTATAATTCTTGCTGTAATTATGGCTGCATCATTTCTGATTTCTCTAGTGCCTTGGGGATCCTATATTGACTATCTCTGTGTGTGGAACAAATACATTGATAAAGAAAATGTCATACCAATAACATACGAGGAAATGAAAGAGGTACAATCAAGACTACTCAGACTTACGTATGCGACTTTTCCATTGCACTTGGACAGCCAGCCTATAAGGAAGCTGAAGTGGCAGGGGTGAACCAAGGTCACGCAGGCAGCTTCCTATCTGAACAGAAATCCAGAACTAGGTTCACTGTTGTAGGCACTGCAAGACAAGAGAGTTACAGTCACCAAATCAATCAGGCTTCTTGAGAATTCCTAGCAAGCGCCAGAAAAAGAAAATTTGGGTTTTTAAAAAAGCACTCAACAGGACAGTTCAAATAGCCTAACTGACCGAAGTGCTTCCATGCTGGTCACCCTTCTTTCATCAAACAAAAAGGGGAGGAGATGACAAGCAACCAAAGGTTCGTTTTCATAAAAGAATAGCCCTGCTTTCCCTTAGCTAGAAATGATGAGGTACCATTTCTTGTCAGGTGATGACGGGACTGGCAAACGATGCCCGCCCACCATTTCCCTCTGAGCTGAAGCCTCGTAGGCCCACACGCCTACCGTCTGTCACCCTTACTGCTCTTGGGCCAGTTAAGACCATTTATTGGTTTGCTTAGGGAAGGAAGCAGTGGTGAGAGCAGCAGAAAGGACCCACCAGAAGTGACCCTTAGGGAAGGAAGCCGCATTTCGAGTGGGTTAGATCAGACTCAACCTGAAAGCGGCTCAAGATTTTTGAGAACCAGCATCTTGAACAACTGCATGAGATTGGCTCTCTGTTAAACTCAGGGGAGTTATACGTGAATGTGTTTTAGTGGATAACGTATGTAGTGCACTGTGGTTCTGAACTAGAAGCAGGAGTTCTCCATGACAGGAATTGCAAAGGGAGTCAGAATGAATTGAGCATTCCCAAATTCCTTTGTCAGACATAGAAACTTGCATACATGGGAGCCTACCTTACCAGAGCCTTCCCTGATGGATGATTTGCTCTTCTCTTTTGCAGAACACAGCTTTAGGGGCTGAAAAGATATCCAAATTCTGTGGACTGGACCTCAGTGAGGAAGACTTCCGTGCTGTTGCTGAAAGGAGCACTTTCAAGGCCATGAAAGAGAATTCCAAATTAACCCATGGAGAATTTGGTGATGTGCTTTTCCGGAAAGGTAACACTTTGAAAGTGTTCTGAAAGTACATTCCATTGAATCCGCTGGTGTATATCCAGTTCCTATTTAAAAAGGGGTGAATATCGTCTCTTTCTTCTACTGGCATTGGCCAAGCACTTAAGTCTAGATCAGTGATGGAGAACTTTCTAGAGACCGAGTGCCCAAACTGCAACTCAGAACACACTTATCGCAAAGTGCCAACACTGCAATAAGACCTGAATTTGCTGACCACCAGCACAAGGGGGCAAAGTTCCACTGGCCACCAGCTTTTGGCTGGCCCTGAAAAAGGCATCTGAGTGTATTTCCTACCTTTCCTACCTTCTGCTAAAATCAGTCCAAGGAAATCCCTGGCAGCTCACTGACTGGCCATGTGAAAGCTGGTGAGTCTCAGCTAATGAGTGAAGTTGTTGCCTGGTGCCCTTAATCTTTCTGAATATGCGCATGGCTGCTGGGGCGATCGTGGAGGACAGAAAGGGCTCTGCATGCCCCTCTGGGCACCTGTGCCATAGGTTCACCATCACTGGTCTAGATGATGAATAAAGTGCTTCCAAACATTTGTATTGCATCATAGCCAGTAGAAAGCAAAGGAGGCACTCCAAAATCCCTCAGCTGCCGGGATTTGCAAAAGAATAAAACCTTTAATATATTAATGGGAAAGGCCACAGAATAGTGGAGGCAATAGGACAGGGGCCGCTCTCTCTAAAAAGGAAAACTGTTACCAAACTCTGTTACCAAGGTTGGCAAGATGTCTATGGACAGTGAAGTAGGGGTTCTTTGAGCGATAAAGGATAAAAATGGGGTTAGCACAGATATAAATTCAATATATCTACAAGCAGCAGCATGACAAAGCTTTGAAAACAAAGGCAACACTTTAATCAGATGTATAGCATTTAGCTCTGAGTTGTTTTTCTCCATGACTGGGTTTGCATGATCATGAAGGGGGAAATAAGCCACGGTGGTGTATTCCCCTTCCCCATGCATACACACATGGTGTATCTTTGCATAATTAGCCTCAGCAGCACAGCCTGTAATTTCATGAGAACCTGGCAACAAACCATCCGGCATTACCCACCCAGGTTGGCTTCACATGCCATGCCAAGCCACACTGCTGAGGGTAAATCTGCAAATCTTCATAGAAAGTGGGGCGGAGTGTGTGTGCATTTATATTAGGGATGCTAGAACCTATTTTCACCTCTTCGTACACTGGCAGTCACTCATCCCATTCCACATATGAGGGGTTGCAATGCAGTTTGGGAGCTCAATTACTAGCAAAGTTGCCTTGTTCTTGTAGGCCAGTGACTGGGGTAGGTTCAAAACTTTGGTGACTTAGCATGTTATCTGAACCCAGAAACACTGTGGGGTGGCTTCTTTGCAGCAACAAAGCCCGCTCAATAAGACATGGCTTGTTTTAGGGTTTCATAGCTGCTCCTGGGATTACTATGTTGTCCGGATCAAGACACCACAAGCCCAGGTGAAGCCCCATAGCCATGGAGCCCTGTAGCAAGAGCAACAGAAAGTCTTTCCACTCCAGCAACGTGGCTGCGACGACAGCCCCAAAAAGTGTCCAAGCAGCTCTTTGGGCAGCTGTCATCAGCTTCCCTGCTACCACCTGGAGCTTGGGGGAGCAGCACCTGGTGGCCATGCCTGTTCCACGGCATGCTGCCTTCCCGAGCCTTGCCTGGGACTTCAGGAGGCAACACACAGGAGTGGCTCATTCAGTGGGGACTTTCCTGGCAGAGGCCCAGAAGAACTTCTCCCCCTGCCTGCTGCTGTGATCATTGACTCAGCACTGCCTTGGTTGCGGGGTGGGAAGAAAAACCACTGTGAGGTTTGGAGGGAGCACCAGGGCCCCCTCTTCTGGCCAGAGACCAGAATCTGATCAGGGCCCACAACCTGAGGTGTTATGAGAACCACCTGGGAGGCCTGAGGGAAGAGCTTTATCAGAACCGGCTCTTCCCTTTAGATGCTGTCTCAGCAACAAGGGTCTTTGGTGTTGTTGGAGTGCTCTGTACCTCCTGGGGCCTGTCTCTGGGAATTCTGTCTATTGCCTTGCTCCTGCCTCCGCTTCTGGGCCATGCCTGGCTTTGCCTTTGGCTCTGGTCCCGGGTGTCCACTTCTCCTTGGCTTGTTTCTCTGAATGGCATTGACTGCTCTGCTCTATTCAGACAGGCCTACCTTGCACGTTGGTTACCCACCTTGATTTCTGGACTGGGTCTTGATCCCTGACTACGGTTTGGGATGGGCCTGTCTATCATGCCAGTTGTCTGGGCCCTGGTGCCCCAACCTGATACCCAGGCACCCAGGCCCTGGACACTGTCAGTTTGTTAAGGCTGCACCTGAAGGGAAGAGCCGGTTCTGATATAGCTCTTCCCTCAGGGCTCTCTGCTTTTTTCATGACTAGGAGTAAATGACGGGTGCTCCCTCAAGCTTTCCCATCCAGCACTGCTTTCAAGCAGCAATGGAGGGGGAATGTTGGTGCTCCCACAGTGACCCTGGGATAGGGCTGGCGGATCCACTGTGCCTGATCATCTGTCATCAAGCCGTACCTTCTGTGGTGCATGGTTTGCTGTGCTGTAGAAACTTGCCCAGTGACATTTCAGGCTCATTAGAAAAACTGTGCACATTTCACTGCAACAGCAAACATGAATTTCATCGCAGAAAATGGGTAATGATGGCTCTTCCATTGTATGCATAGTACTATATATATTTACTTTCAGGTGGTGTAAGTGACTGGAAGACACTTTTTAGTCAAGCAAACAACCAGGAAATGGACACTGCTTTTGAACAGCGCCTAGCAGGAACCAAGGTGGGATGCAAGATAAAGTATGACGTCTACTGCAAGGCATAAATGCTGAGGAAGAGAAAGAGTGGCTTGGAGTGAACCCGACTCTGTCTCCAAGGACTGCAACAGAGCTATCTTCTTGGGATGAATTTGCAATTAGCTCTACTTGGTCCCTCAGCAAAACAAGAATTGTATCAGATTTTTCTGTCCAAACTTTGAGTATGCTAAACTACGTATCATTATACTAATACTATAATCAATCATATCCAATAAATGTGGAATTAACGACTGGACCACCACATGTTGGGGATTACATGGGTGGAGCTGGCTGGAGCCCAAGGTCAGACTTGATGGCCCAGGAGGCCCCTTCTGGCTCACTGTGTTTCCACGTTTCTACTCTTTCTGTGAGCATCGTGTGTGTTTCATTTGATTAGCCTTTTGTAGTGGCACATAATTTTAGTTCCAGTAAGCCAGCTTTCCCCAACTTGGCCAACAACTCCCATCATCCTAGAACGTTGGCTATGCGGGCTGCCACTGATGTCAGTTGTAGTCCAACGGTTGTGGAAGGTGCCACTATGGGCAAGGCTGCATTCATTCTTCATCAGGCAAACAAGCAACGGTGTCTATACTAGAATTTTTACATAGCAAATGCCAGAGATTTTAAAAGCAAACATGAATATGCATTGCAAATAGATATTTGGCATAAATCACAACATGATACTAGAATACTCGAACCCTACCCTCATAATTGCAGAAAGTAGAAATTTGATCAATTGCCATATGTTTTCATATGCCGGATGGGAGGCCTGCCAACCAAACTACATGACTACTACTATCTTCTGCTAATAACTGTTGCAGTATCTAATATAAATTGCCCTGCTGATCCAAGTGATATGGTCTAAAGTGCACGGCCTTTTCAGTACCAAAGCAATAATGCTCATTCACACATCTCTGTGTATTTAATGTGCAATTTAATTTAAAAATGCAGCCATGCAGAGGTTCAACAGGGGCATGGTGGGAGTAATAATTACTTTTCTGCTGCTGCTCTCCATATTTGGAATGCTCTCCCCAAGGATATTTGCCTGGCTCCTTCTTTATGATCTTTTTGGCACCAGGCAAAGACCTTCCTTTTTAAAAAGCATTTGGATAGTTGATGCCACCACACCTTTTTCTATTTTTATATGTATTGTATTTTTAATTATTATTAGTTCTATTGTGGCTTTTTATTTTAGGATTGTGAACCACCCAGAGGTGCTGTGGCACAATAGGCAGCTTGAAATAATAAACAAACAAATAAATAATTAGCGGGACACTAAGGGATAATGCAACCATTATAACCATGGGCATTCTTATATTGCACTTTTATGTTTTTAAAAGGGCTTAAATTGTTGTGAACTGCCCGGAGAACTTTGACTACGTGAGTGAAATTTCACTTCCCAAGGGCTTCTCAGCACAAGTCACTAATTGTTCTCCCACACTCATGGCCATTTGTGGGGTCTTTTCATGATACTGTCATCCTCCAGAGACGCTTCCATGCTTTCTAGCCTTTTCAGTGCCTTTTTTCCCAGACTGAGGAAAATGAAGTGGAGAGGTCTGAGCATTGGTCTGGGACCTCAGAGATCTGAGTTCTAGTCCTCATTCACACATGAACCTCACTGCGTGACTCTGGGCCAGTCGCAGACTCTCAGTGTAACCTACCTTGCGGGATTGTTGTTGACAGGATAAAATGGAGAGAAAGAAGCCTATGCAAGCCACCTTGGCTTCTTCATGAGAAAAAACATTGGGATATAAATGTAACTAAATAATAATACCAGGACATAGTTGCAATAGCACTCTCCCATCCATGCTCCCCAAAGTAGCATAGAGCCTTCGGGACTAGTAGCTACGTATGGCTAGCCTTCTTCTCCATGAATTCCCCCTCCAGTTTCCTTTTAAAGTCATCCAACCTGGTGGTCATTGCTACATTTCATAGAACTGAATTCCATATATTAACTAGGCACTGTGTGAAGAAGTGTCTTAGTGGCTTCGTGGGAGGACTCCAGGCTCTAGTATTGTGAGAAGAGGAGAAAATGTCCTCCTTTCCACTTACTCCACACTTGCACGGTTTTCTGTCCTGTCTTCCCTGTTCATCTTTTGTGTAAGATGACCTCCCCAGAGAGGTCCGCCTGGTCCCATCGTTATTTGTTTTTCGGCGCCAGACTAAGACCTTTTTATTTAAAACTTATTTTAATTGTTAAATTATTTGTATTTATAGGATTTTAAATTTTTAGCCGAGATGCACCGGAGGTTTTTAAATAAATTTTTTATTGTTATATTGTTATTTATTTATGTATTTTGTTTCTGTTGTGAGCCACCCCGAGGCTTCGTTGCGATGGGGGCGGCATAGAAATGTTTTAAATAAATAAGCCAAACTTTTCTCCAAGTCCCCAGTTTTCTAGGGAAGCTGCTCCTTCCTCTGTTTTTCCTTGCTTTGGTTGGGCTTGGAAGTGCAGTTTTCTTCTTGTCCTCCACAAGACATACCAGAGCAGCTCCCTGGAGCTTCTGCCAATAATCTTAAAGTCCAGTGGCATGTTTTCCAAGCAGATTTTCGTGCCAGTCAGCAACATGATCTCTCAATGCACAAATGCAGCAATGGAGAACAGTCATGAGAAGGGAACTCTTCATATTTGTGAAAGAGCCAAGGAAAATAAAAAAGTATGCCTCAGTACCTCCCTGTCTCTCAAGAATTTTGTACATATTTTTCACAGTTCTTGCATAATTCTGGTTTATCAGAATTGTGCAACACACATTTATTAAAGAAGAAAAGCAATCTGCAAGGCAAGAGCGGTGATTAAATTGGTGATTTCTCTGCTGAGATTGGAAAGAAATAAAAGGAAGGAATCGATTAAGTGAGTAGAAAGGTGAACTGGAGAAAAAAGCAGATTGCGTGCAAAGGAGTAACAAAGGTTAAAGGAAAAGGGCAAAACTCTTTCAGGTTAAGTTTCAGGACAGAAATGGCAAATGATCATCTACCTTTGCCAGGGATGACTCCTCCCATTCCACCATGTCACCTGCCTGTTTTCCTGTCCACACCTCCAGTAAGAATGCAGTGAAGTTCTGCTCCTTCCCTTATTCATGGATGTTTCTGCACTAAGGAAAGGGTGGAATTGTTGCGAAAACACATGAACGATAACAAGCTTTTCTAGCCAAGGCAGTTTAACCTGCTGTTGTTGCTCTGGTTTCATTGCAATCATTCAGATTGGACCTCTACCTGAAGTTCTTCCCCTTTTCTGGCTTTTCCCTACTTTCTGCTCCATATTCTTCATAAATTGGGCTATGGAGCAGATGAATAAGGAAACTACACTGGAGGTGCCAAAAATGCAGATTTTCCCTGCTCCACCCACACAAAAGAACAGTGAAAAACAAGAGCAAAGTGGGAAGTTTATAGTATCATCTAAAGTATGCATAAACAACGAGTGGAGAAATGGTGAGAACCTCACATGGAAAAACTCAACATCCTTGGAAAGCCTCCCTTCCTGCCAGTAAAGTGGGAGTGAATGAGCCATGGTGATCCATGAAAAATCTTCATCTGGAAGCACCCCTCTGCGTGTGTGCGTGTGTTTGCACAGATGTGATTCCTTGTTGGAAACTCCTTGCTTCCTCACCATGCAAATACCTTTTCATAGGAGGGGTTTTCTCAGGAGCAGAGCAACAGGAGAAAGGTTTAGATTCCCCTTCTGTCCTGTCAGTGCAACCCATTTATGCCATTTGCATTCACACACACACACGGACAGATTTAACTTCTCATGTAGTTAGGTCCAGAGTCTTTCTATCTTCCTTCTGTTCTCCCTTTGCATCCCATCAAGATGTGACCCTAAGTCTGCTCCTGCTCACTGCAAGGGTTGAATTATCTCCCCTTGGCATGGCGACCCAGGAAATCCACCTTTGTTTTCTAGGAGCATTGGATGATATCGCCCTCTTAGTTGCCAAGGAGATGATGCACTGCCTCCCCTTGGTAAGTCAGACGAGGCCCTGCTAGCTGCTTGCAGGCATGGGGAAAAGTTGCCTGCTGCCTGAAGCAGGCAAACTTGCCTAGCCACTGTGGAACCCAGCCTCTACCACTGCCACCGCATGGACGTTGCTCCCTGTTGATAGTGCTGCACCCACTGCCACCCCCAGCAGGAGAGCCTGTTGCCTTTCCTTTGCTGCCCCACAGGAGGTCTGCTTGCTGGGGCTGCCGTGGAGGCAGGGAGGTTTGAGACCCTGTGGGCTTCAAGCTCTTGCAAGGTCTCAGTACTTGGCTGAGATGGTGTGAGGTACTGGCCCTGTGTCGAGATTGCATGGGAGTCCCAGGAGCTAACACAGATGGAGGGCCTGTGGCTGCTTCAGATAGCACCACCGCTGCTTTTGTGCTGGTGGGGCTCTTCAGAGCACTTCCTGGGGATGAGGGTGGCCTCTCCAGGCTGGTGGGAGAAAGTCGCTCACTGCTCTTCCAGCTGTGCTGCCTCAGGCAGGCACTTCCCCCTGCTTCATGGGTGGGCTGGCCTGGGCTGCTTGCAAACTGGATTGTCATCTAGAAGGTGCTCGCAAGGTTAGATTGCCTCCGGTTGTCAGTGTTCGCCAGGTCTTGGGTGAGATAACTGTGGCATGGCTGTCTAGGAATGGGTGGCCCGCCATCATCCTGAGCCAACATAGAGGGTGCAGTGCCATCTGGTGGACCACATGTTCTCTATCTACAATTGAGCCTAAATCTGGCCCAACAAAGTTTACTTCTGTCCTCTGCAGTGTTTGCAGCACCTAGTTATCATACATAATGGTATTGAGATTCTGCCGCATGCACTGTTTAAAATATGCAATTGTACTCTTATGTATTACCTGCAAGGTGTAGTTGAATTAGTTAGAATAGGGTGTTTGGGACCTTGATAAGCATATTCTGTCCATGATACCTTAGTTAGCATCAAGAAAGACAGACAAGCCATCTTGTGAAATGCAAAACCCAAGAAACCTCTCTTCAAAGAGGCAGAGCTGGAGCCTTGCCGACTTCTGAGTTGAGGAGGTTGCCTCATACAGAGATAGGCCTTCGGGCCATCGAACTCATTCATGGCAACACGGAGAAGCAGCAACTCTCCAGACTTTTGAGGCATGTGTGGGACTTTCCACTCCTACTTAGAAACGCCGGGCATTCAACTGGGAACCTCCTGCCTGCAAGGCCTGCGCTCTGCCATTGAGTTTTGGCCCCTCTGCAAAGCTGCAATGAAACGGATTGCAGTCTCAAGTTGTGTGAGTGCTTCATTGTGCTTTCTATTTCCCAATGTTAGAAAACTCAGTCTAAAAATGTCTCCGTCATGCCTCATGGGGAGACATAAGGCAGCCTTCTTCCGTTCGTGCTTTTGGCTAATTAAGCAAGTCTGGCCACATTTCTAAAGAATGTTTTCCTTCCTTCTTTGCGTATGGCCACTTTTCTCCCCTTAAGGCTCAGCACAATCTGGCCACTATTCTGTCGAGGAATATCAGTACTGAGGGAAAGAAAAAATGCAAGGTTCCCTTGATGTCTACAAACTACTCACACAGAGTTAATCAGTAACAAGTTCTGACCACTGAGACCATTATAGCTTTGCTTTTCTCAGGAAGCCAGTCTAGATTCCAGATTTCCCACACACACTTGGAATCATGGCTAAGAAAGGAGTAGTCGAGCTTATGGACGCAGCAGTGAGAGAAATGGAAGAAACTCCTCCTGCAGAGCCACTACTTTTGCACGACGGGGTGCTATATCCCGCTGTAGTCTGCCGTACAGAAACACTGAATCTTCTTGACACTTTTAAAGCTCGGAGTGATGATGTGGTATTAGTGGGATATCCCAAAACTGGTGAGTCTCTCAGTCTTGCTTCCCTTTCCCCTCTTCTCTCTATTTTGCTTATTTTGCAGTTACAACCAGGTTTATAACAGGTAGCTTTTAAAGCAGCAGAAATTATCTTAATGGAGATGCCTCATTGTCAATTACCCAAAAGGAAGGAAATAGTCAATCCTATATATTTTATATATTTGCAACATATATATATAGTACCTATAACATATGATTTAGTATTTCAGATTCAAATAACCTGCCATATGTTGATTATGGGGATGTTTACAAAGAACAGCACCATTCAGAGACACATTGTGGGTTAATTAATTAATTGTGAGTCCTGGCAAGCTGGAGGCCATGCGGGTAAGTAGCTCCTGTTTATGGAAACTGGGTTGGTTGCCTGCTACAGTTGGGGTTACACTCCCACTGATGTTGCAGGTATGTAGTCTGAGCATTATCACAGGAGAAACAGATATCATAAATAGCCCAGAGTGCCTTCAACATCTCTGATGGGTAAGGCACCTCTGGCCATTCCTGGACAGGGACAGCTTTACCACTTGTGGTCCATGCCCTGGCAACTGCAGCACTGGGTTGCTGTTATGACCTTTTTGTGGAACTCTCCCTAAGGCTGGTCCAGAAGCTGCAGTTGGTGCAGAACGTCACAGCCACATAGATAACGAAAGTAGCTGATTGCCAGCTTTGATGCATCGTGGCTCAGAATAGAGCTTTTCATGTCATAATGCTCACTATGAATCCCCCTTTATGAATTAGACAGACACCAACACTTCTGGGTTTTCAGCACCTGTTAAAAACTTACCTTTTCCAACAGACAATCGCAGGAAGATAAACGTGTCCTTTGTATCGATCCCAGATACTTCTTCACTATAGACAAATTCTAAATAGAGTTGAAAAAGCAAATATGCAAAATCCCATGTTCTAGTTCTCTGTCTGTGAAGCTCATTTTTCAGCCTGTCCTGGCAACCGTGATGAAAGACCCATGAAGTGGGATGGCACATCCCTTTCTGTACTTTCTGATAAGGTGTCTGCATTACTTCAGGTACTAATTGGGTTGGCCAGATTTTAATTGAGTTGGAAGATGCCTCTGGAAAGTATGATGAAGAAGAAAGAAAGCGAAGGCAGCAAAATGAACAAGAATTACGACTATTTCCAGTTGAATTTGGAGATCCGGAGAAATTTGAGGTCAGCAGGTGTTTCCATTTATATTTTTCCAGGGCATTTTCCATGCCTTTCCCTACTTGCTTCACAAAGCTTTGCAATGACATCAGGATCATGCCCAGCAAGCATTTATGATGACCGAAGAGGAGTATTTATTTGATCCACAAGGAATCATCTGAAAATGGTTTGGCAAACATGGCACCATTGTTGTTTTTCTCACCTTGCCCAACTTACCTTAGGGGACCACCCTTCCCTCCCCCATACCCCACAACACCCCTCGGGGGCTAGTAAAAGTCAGTCTGTGTACGAAGCTATGCACGTAAGTGTGAAGAGGTTACCAGTGGCTTTGAGAAAGAGTGTGTGAATGTGTCTGTGGATTGCATGCCAGCAAAGGCCCTTCTTGCTTTGGGTAGTAATGCTGACCACTGCTGGGGTACAACCGCCCCTGATCCACATATCCCAGCCCAGACACAGTTTGGCCCTTGATCCAAACAAACAAACTCCGCAGAGGTTCCCTGCCCTGGTGCTGGGAGATCAGGAATGCTGTGTTGCACATGTGGATCCAATCCTGCAAGGGGCTTGTGGCCAGAACCATTCTCCCATGAATAGATCTCCATCATTAGAATGAAGAACAACGGTACCCTCCTTTCATTAACGTCTATATGACCAGTTAGGACTACTAGAATGTGCAGAAATGTGTTCATGGTGCTGGCTTCTCCGTTTTGAATTTTGCATCTGCAACGCCTTGATATGCTAAGGTGATCTTGGGGAACCAAGGGTAACTTTAAAGAATGACCTCAAAGTCTAATCAATTCATTATGGCTTGGGCTGTCATGAACTAGAATTCATGTCATCGGATGCATGAGGCATTATCCTTAGTTCCGAGATACACATTCATGCACAACTGGGTGGCTTGGGGATTGTAAATATTAAGCCGGAAGCAACTGAAATGAAGAAAGTACAGGCAGTGAGAGATAAAGTAATTTAATGAATAATTACCTTAACATTTTTAAATGCTTTGCAGTTTTTTTCTTTTAGTATACTGTTACTAGGTTGTATGAGGTTCAAGCCAAAATGCATTGCATGTTTTACAACTGTAAAAGAATAATGTATTGTATTACCTATTTCCTGTGCAGATAGAATTTTAACAAGTAATAATAATGATATCAGTTGGATTTAGGGAACAATCCTCTGCAAGTTTAGATGGAAAAACTGCCTACAATTCCAGGCATGCTGGGAACTGTAAGCAATTTTTCTGTTTAAGTTGCATAGGATTGTGGCTTTAAGCACACAGAAATGTGTTTCTACAAGGCAAACTTGCTGGGGGTTACAACCCTAATGCAATTGCATTAGATTGTCTTTTTTCAAATACAGGGATATTAACTTTCCTATTTTTATCATCTTATTAAAGAGGATGGAGAAATTACCTTCCAGAAGAATTCTAAAAACTCATCTCAAACTGCAAAAGATTCCCAAATCAATCTTTGAAAAAAAGGCAAAAGTAAGTACTCATTGTTTCCTCAATCAATCTAGAATCTTTATATATCGCTTTTCAATTAAAAAAAAGTTTTCAAATTGCATAGTAAAATAGAGCAACAAACTAGGATGAGACCTGGTTTCTAGATCCTGCTGTGGTAAAGACTTCATTAAACCACAGCTCCCTGAATTCACACAGAATGGGAAATGGTGGTTCCTTCAAAGCTTTCCATACCTGTTCCTTATGCACAGAGGAGGATGAGACAGGACATGTGCCACATCCATGGCCTGATGCAGCTCTTTCTCTGATGCTAAATTAAAGGGCCAAAGCAGGGCCAAAGGTTTTACGCCAGCATCACCACAGAGCACCCATCTGGATCACAGGCCCAGTATCAGGAGCAGAGCCCTTTAATCTTTCCTTCTGTTATGAACAGTCCTGGATTTGTGGGGGGAGGGGGCTGTTCTTGCAAAAGTAAATAGAAACCCCTTTTCTTTAATGGATCACCACTGTGTTATATGTATTGCAGGTACTCCCCCAATCCAGTGAGAGGGGGAGATTAAAGTTCCCCAACCCCCATGCTAGCATCCTGATCTAGCACTTACATTAAAGGTGGCTGGAGTGTGTGCGCAAGGGACACAGCTACTGACTACATCTTTAAGGTATCATATGTTTTGGCCCCTAGTTTAGAAAAATATGTAAACCTAGGCCCTGACAGGACTCTGCATTGACTGTTCTGTTCTCAACTGTTATTAAAGGATTCAAGCAAACTTCTCCACCAACCCTTGTTTGTGACATGTTAGCTTAAGATCTGGTGGGCTGAACTTGGAAACGGCAAAGTAAAACAGTAAGCTATGGGCTCACCTCGGTTTTTCTCCTAGTTACAAGGCTTTATGTTAAATTAATTCATTGCTGAGTCATGAAGAACTTTAGTGCTGAGCATTTAACAACAATAAATCATTATTTGTTTTTGGTGTTCGGGATCTGAACTCTGCCCTCCTAGCTTTTATATGCATGTGCTGATGTCCTTTTGTGTTTTAAAGATACTGGTTCTGTTTCGTAATCCAAAGGATGTGGCTGTATCTTACTTCCATTTCGCTAAAGGCATGAAGCTGATTCCCAGCGAGGAAACCTGGGACAAGTTTGTTGCAGATTTTATCAGTGGAAAAGGTGATCGTCTCTTCTTCTACTTAGCCCTGGAGTAGGAAACATGGTGCCTATGGGTATCTGTGAACTCCTGGACATCTGGTGTCTGCCAAAGTGCCCTATCACTCCCACTTGTTATTTTCTTTTAAAATTAAATGCATGTTTACCTGGGAGAAAGGCCCCCTCCACTCAATGGAATTTTCCCTCTGTATAACCTCATAATTGTGCTGCTGGTGAACTCTCTCCAGCCAACTAGACAATAATTCCCTAAACACGATAAAATATGTTAGGCAGAAATATGAATGAACATTTGTGCTTAGTTTAGGAGTGGCAGAGAGTACAATAAAACCGTTTAAATTGCTTTCATTGCTGTCTTTAGTGATGTCAGATCTGTCATCATTTAATCAAATGAAAAAGACTGACTGAACTGACTGACTGGATAAGGGAATTATGCATGTTGCTGGATGGACTTAATGACCTACCTGTATATAGAGAATAGGTTGGGCTCACACAGCGTGAACAGAAGGTGAAATTGTGTTGGACTAGGTAGCACAGCGCAAAGAACATATGGAAACTTAAAATCCACATGCAATTTCTAGAACAATTTTAATCTACATAAAATGCAGTGCATTCAGTCCATTCACACTTTCCGCATTCACCTTGTTGCCCACGTTGGAGTAATAGATCCTGATGTCTGGTCAAGTCATATACTCAGAAGCTAGAGGTAGACTGCATGTAGTTGCTTCCTGGTGTTTCAGTCTTCCTCACATCATTCCTACTGATTTTGCAGTATCTTCAATACTCTTCTTTCTCAAGTCTTTGTACATCAGCAGTGTGTCCTGGTTCTACGTGACTTGGACCCACTCTAAAGGCATCACCTGTCCCTGGAGGATGTCATGACCATTACTTTGCTTATTTAGGGGCATTCACCCAACCTTCGCTTCAGTCCAGGCTTATCTCTGGTCAGCTCTGCAAGTATGTGCACCTTGTTTCCCCCTGTTCTTCAGCCTTTTCTTTTCTCTAGTAACATGTTTCTTTGGATAATCCTGCTTCATTAGTACCTGAGGAACCCTTTCACCAAACAAGTGGGGCGTTCTGTGATTTGATATGAAATTGTATATATGGATTGGGTGCCATCTGGCATTTTGGTCTTGATGAAAAAGGCAAGGCAATCTGTTCTCCATGAGCAAAGAAAACAGTTGTTTAAGCCAGGTGTGTTTAAGCCATTTTCCCCTAAACCATAATAATAAATAATAAGTTCCACTCCATTCAATGGAATTTTCCCTCTGTATAACCCCATTATTGTGCTGCTGGTGAATTCTCTCCAGCCAACTAGACAATAATTCCCTAAACACGATAAAATATGTTAGGCAGAAATATAGTGAACATTTGTGTCTAGTTTAGGAGTGGCAGAGAGTACGTTGTACAAAAAGTGTACAAAGAGAGATCGCGCTGGGACTAGCGCATATAAATCATGGGTGAGAAATATGTGCACACAGATGGACCAAGAACTAAAATTCTCTAATGTTGTTGTTGTTGTTGTTGTTGTTGTTGTTGTTGTTATTATTATTATAACATTTCTATGCCGCCCCTTGCCGAAATGTTACTTCAGATAAGAACCTCTTGGTTTGTTGTTAAACCCATAGCACAGAACTAATATGAATGCAAGACTTGCATGTGTAAAATAAAGTCTACCGTATTATTATCATATTGTATTTATATACTGCATTTTTGAGGAAGCCGAGGCAGCTTTCATAGCATCATTTTATCCTTACAACAGCAACCCTGTGAGGTAGCTTGGGCTAAGAGTCTGTGATTGGCCGAAGGCCCCAAAAGCTTCATGGCTAAGTGAAGATTACAAGCCAGATCCTCTTTATCAGCAATTTAGAGATCTGTTACATGGTTAACATTGTTTGTCTTCTTCTTCCCAGTGTCTTATGGCTTATATCTTGACCATATTATTGAATGGAACAAGTATCTGGATGACAAAAATGTCATGTTTATTACCTATGAGGAACTACAAGAGGTGAGTGTTAACAAATTACATCTTTTAAAACTTCTGACTGAAAGATCATAGACTAGAAGGGTTGGAAGGGATCATGAAGGCCATCAAGTCCAACCCCCAATTGTAGGATACCATGTTACACCATCCCACTCAGATGGCATAACTATAATTAAATAGTGCTCCAGAAATAAAAAAAGAGTTTTAAATCATGGTTTCTGCTTGGCTGTTTCAGCTGGTAAACATCTCAGAAATGTTTTCTTTTAAAATTCAGCTGCAGAATCTATTAATCCAAACCTGTTGTAGGGACAGGGTCTGCTTCTCCCAAAAGGTTGTTGCCTCAGTATCTGAATCAGAACTGAAAGAAGAGTCAGGGTCAGAATTCTTAGCTGAAATGCCAAGGCCAGCATGCCCCAAGACCACATCTGGTTTGGGGGGAACACTGTCTAACAGGCAGAGTCGGGGCAGGATAGATATAATATCAGGATGTGAACATCAGGATAGATGTTCACACCTATAGTCTGGCTTCAGATCAAAAGAAAATGCCAATTGAGTAGCATTGAACATTTCCACGGTCTGGCCCACAAGCTGTGGAAACACCATAGATGGAGGTAACACTGTTTGGTTGAGAAAAGAGGAATGGGATTTAGTTTGGAATCAACTTCTTAGCATTAACCCCATTTCCCTGATTCCTGATTTTCTTATTTCTGGGAGTGGGGGGGCAGCTTTATTATTAACTTCTGTGATATTGCTTTTGCATCACAAAGCTAGTCTTGCTGGCCAGCTTTAACATAATAGAGACTGCATTTAAAAGTCCATTATCTGCTTGAAAGGAGTTGGGTGGTGGGGAGGCTGCAGAAGACCAGACTTGTACTAAAATCCTATTTTTGCAAAATTGTTAGGATAATTGATCTTGTGAATTACATTTCACATTTATGTGGAGTCACATCTAGAAATATAATAACCAACCTAACCCTTTCTTGAAGTATCTTTAAAAAAACTGGGGGGAAAACCATGGTTTTTGATCTCTACTAAATTATGGGCTTGTTATCACTATTGCAGAACAGTTATATCAAACCTGGGAACTAGAATATGTAATATCTCCATGAAAATGCTGAATTTTTGAGTTTTGTTGCATTTGTTTTCTTTGTTCAGAACACAGCATTAGGACTGAAAAGAATAGCTGAATTCTTTGATTTTTCTGTTACTGAGCAAGATATTCAATCCATTGTGGAAAAATCCAGTTTCAAAGCCATGAAAGAGAAATTCTCACAAACTCATGGAGAAATGGGCAAGACTCTTTTCCGTAAAGGTAAAATTTGATAATGTTTGATTAGTTCCATTAACAAGTATCTTTTGCTTCCAGAAGGCCCTCTTGGATAGATTTATACAGATATATCTTGCAATATGAAATAAATATTTTACCACAAATCTATACATGCTGCAAAAGCATACGGCCATTTCTGGTGTGTGAATTGTACATCTGCACACTGTAATATTGCATATTTTGATTTTTTTTTCTTTGAGATGGAGAAAAACCTTAGCATATCAGGTGCATTTAACAGAAGGCTAGCTTATAATTGCAAAGTCTGCAAAGCTTTGCAAGGAAATATCACTGGCTTACTTTACCTCTTCTATAGTGGCTCTGAGGCAGTACCATATATGGTTTTTTCCTCTTATGGATACATGCTTTATTGATTTGTTTTCACCATTCATATCCACCTGTCTGTCTGTAAAACATTCACAGTGGCTTCATCCAGCCCAAAACCAATCTTAAACTAGATTAACATTGCAGTCCTAGATTTGTCTACTGAGAACTAAGTTCCAAAAAGTTCAGTGAGATTTCCCTCAGGGAAGAGTATAGAGGTTGCAGTCCAAATGAGGTAAAAATAACAAAAACAAAAAATAAAACAAAGTAGGGTCAAATAATTGAAGGACAGTAACCCACAGATGTTCAGTGGAATAAAACAATGCCTTCTGTTCAACTAAAAGCAAACAGGAAAGGCACAAACCAGGGCTCTCTCAGAAGACAGACAGCTTATTCCTGATCTTGCATACCAGAACTGAAAATACCCTACCTTGGAATCCATCACTCATATTTCTGATTGGGGGGATCTCAAAACAGGCCATAATGTATACATATTATATCAAATCAGCCAACTGACAATAATATTTCTACTGATGTACCTGATGAAGCGGGCTCTAGTTCATAGATGCTTAGGCTACCTAATCCCATTAGTCTTTACAATATCACAAGAAGCTTTTGTTGGCAGGAGATGGGAGTGAGGGAAAAGATGCAGGTGCCATGGAAATATTTATTACATTTATTCAAGGAAAAATATGTTTCCCTCTTTCCCTGTTATGGTTACTAAACTTTCTGTTCACAGGCATAGTAGGTGACTGGAAGAATGTTTTTACTGAAGCCCAGAGTAAAGAAATGGATAAAAAATATGAGGAGGATATGGCAAAAATTGAACTTGGAAGGATGCTGAAGTATGAAGTTTACTGCAAGAACTGAAGATGGCAACAATGTTACAAATCTCACATGTTTTGGTTTTGTGCATATGGGGAAAACATCTATGAGATAGTTTTGTAGGGTGGAATTCTAGTATGTCATGCCTGCTCTGCCTATGTTATTTCCACTGTTGATCTAATTTGCATTCCAGTATTTATACATAGGGTGAAATTAATTACTAGATATAACATTTTGTGGTTGTAAAAAAATTGAAATGTTTTAATTATTTCAACACAGATTTTGAAATTTGGTTTAAGGGTTGTTTCTTTGGAGTTTTAAATACCACTGTTAGGATAAGCTGAAGTTCTGATACAGATTTGGAACTGAAATACATCACATTTTCGCAGAAAACTAAATCAACAGACAGATTGCAAATCCTGAATGGCATATGCATTTTGCTTGGGAAATAAGGGCAACTACTGAATTTTATATTTTTAGAAATGGGGGAATGTCTCTCTCTGTCTCAAAGGCATTCAGTTCAATCTGGAATCTGTGTAAGCAGCTAGCGAAATTGTCTTTAGCTGTATGTGCAATCTTTTCTCATACTCCTTTTTAAAGACTTTAGTGCTTAACATTGAGCTTGCTCTCTCTCTTCCTCCCACATACATTTTCCGTAAAACCACCCTAATGAACAGAAGTAGAGGACCCAATATTTAGGTTGATCTGAATAAAACTGCATAAAGGCAGGTGTTTATGCTAGTATAGTCACTACATATATGTAAAGTGTTTATGTAATATAGACACCTATTGAGGTAAAAGCAGAATGGATCCCATAGTCCTGTGGCCATGGCATCTAGATAGCCCTCCAGATGTTTTGGTCTACAACTCCCTCACCATTGCCTATGCTGGCCAGTGCTGTTGGGAGCTGGAGGCTGAAACATCTGGAAGACCACAAGTTGCCCATCTTGCAACTTGAGAATGGATTCTGAGTTTTAGAACCCCAAAGTTAAACTACACACACATACACTTACAAATGTGTGGTTGTAGTCATCTATTGACTCCTGAGTTGGGCACACATAGCCACCCAATGTGATTACTTTGTTAAGAACAGCACTAGGTGTGGGTTTCAGAGACAAAGGTCACAAAGTTCCTTGTGATTATGCTTGGTGGCTGCATGGTGACACCATGGTAAGCCACTCCCTGTGATTCAGATTGCCAAAGTATCCATGGAGGGCAGTAACAAAGGTGAAGCACTCCCCATTCTCCAAATCCGAACACTCACTTTCCAGACAAAACCCTCCTGAAATTTTGCAGCTTTCTTAAACAGGACCCCCTCTGTGCTGTGTGTCATTTGCATAATAGCTGCAAAAGGGAAAAAACGGGATGAATCATGTCCCCTTTGCAGCGGGGACCCTCTCCAAGCTGTTCTTGCACAGTCTCCCACAAATCTCTTCATCTGAAACTTGGCAGGCTTGATCACCTCAGAAGGAGCCACTATCCTTCCAAATTTCTAAATCTGCCAAGAATTTTATTAAAAGTTATTGGCAGTTCCCTTAAAAAAATAAAACAAAAATTAAAGGCATGCAGCACAACAACATCTGCATCTATTTATCAGATATATTCCCCCCTCATAAGGGACTATTATGCCTGAAATCTGCCAAGCAGGAAAAAACATGTAGTCATCTGTTAATTTCCAATGTTAGCCTTAAGATTTTCAAGCAGTACATAAGATCTGACAATATTATGTTATCGAGTAGCATGTGAATCATTAAAATGAATGAATAAATGAATGGCATAAGGATTTGGATTTTTAAGCTATGGTTTGAACCCAGGCCAAAGCAGACTGCCACCAAAGCATCGTTAGCTGAATTGGTCTGTTTTCCAAATGGCCACATCAGAGCTTAAACTGAATCTTGTGGTTGGTGCACACCATCTGCAGAAGCATTGTCTTGATGCCAGAAGCTGTGCAGAGTTGTTCCTGTAAGCAACTTGACACACTCAGTGACTGTGTCATGGGGAAAGCAGGCCTCCACTTGAAGCCAATGCCCTTGATCATGGCAGCATTTGTATCATCGGTGAGAAAGGAGCTCCACAAGGATGCAGGTGCCCTTTATCACTGAACACTAATGTGTGATTGCAGGGCACAGGGCAAGTAGGTGTCCTGGCACTGGGCGCAGGGCCAGTAGATACGATCCCATCCCTGCTCACAAATTTACCAGCCAGGAGGTAGGAGTCAGCTGCCAAGGACTATGCAGTACTTTGACTCCTGACTTATCTGATTAACACTGCTGTAAAGCATGCACTCAGGGATGGTGCGTCAACAACAAACCTCCCATTTAATCCAAATAACAGCCTTGCCCTGATTTAAACTCCTTACGTAACTATTCCCTTGAGTTGCCATAACTTCTTTCCTTGAAAAATTTCATTTTGAAGATATGCTACAGCTTTCCAAGTTTAAAGGTGGAAAAGTACTATGCACAGATTTCCTGCATGCAAGTCATGAACTCTGGAACTACCTCTTTATAATCAGAGCTTCTAATTTTGGAAGATGCAGACATGTAAACAGTACCATGGCCTCTCTATGTCTTACACCACAAATCTGAACATGATGACATGGAAGTCAAGTCACTGAAAATCTGTGAGCCTCTCTTTCTTACATGCCAAGGTGCCCAAGAATGTTGCCTTACATGGGTTGTGTTCATTTTTTATTGCTAATATGTTGTGAGCAAGAAGTGCTCTCAGTCTATGACTCTGAAGATAAGCAGTGAAGGGTGCACTCCTATTGCCCCAGGGCAGATGCATGTAAGCCTCCCCCCAAGGCCTTGTAGGGAGTGGCAGCCAGCACCGTTTTTTCCAAACGAGATGCAGGGAGTGGGGTGGAGACTCCACCTTCAGAGTCCTGCTCCAAGGAAGCAGGACCTCAGAATTGGGAGGCCAAAGAACCTCGTATCCTCCCAGACAATGTTGGGAGGCCATAGGATTGTGTCCTAAAATGGAATTGCTAATTCAATGTAGCAAACCAGAATGAACACCTTGTGACAGAGCTCGAGCAGTAGTACATTTGCAAAGGAAATTCTCACTCCCTTTTCTCAGGTTTAATATTTATTCATGTCACTCCAAACTACAATAAATGGTCAGCAATTGCAGATCCAGTTTCAGCTTAGTCTCTGGGGCCTTCCTTGAGAGGCTCAGAAGGTGGCAAATAGGGGGAGAGCCTTTTCTGTGGTGGCCCTTCAATTTTGGAATAACCTCCCTTCTGTGGCCCACCTGATGCAGAATTTGCCATCTTGTTGGTGCTAAGCCAAGACAGCACTCTTTGTGGACGCCTTTAAAGACCTCCCTGATTAGCCAGCTGCCTTACTCTTAGGCAGATCTTTTAAATTGTCTTTTTATTGTTTTAATGTTTTATGCTATTTTAATTTTTAATTTTTGTTAATTGTTTTTATCTATTGTATTTAATTGTTTTTATACCATTTTACAAGCCACCCAGAGCTTCAGCTGGGGCATTATAGAAATGTAAATAATAATAATAATAATAATAATAATAATAATAATACATTTTTGGAAGTTTTATCTTAAAGGTACAAACAGATTTTTAAAATGTGAAATGTTTCGACATTAACATGCCAGTTTCAGTTACTGTACTGAAGCTGGCATTTTAGGCTGAATTAATTTTGAAATCTTTTTATGAAAACAATTTTAAATGCATAAACTGAATGTGTGGTTGCTGGCTGCTTATTGTGTTTTGGAGTGCATGTGATGTTCATTGCACCATGTACATATTGATCTATTTTCACAAAAACAATTCGAGAAGTCCCACATAATTCCTAATTTCAGTGTTGGCCAGCTTTGAGGGGGCCCTGGGCAAGGTGTCCTCTGGCAAGCCCCTCCTCTGAGGTGACCCTGGTGGCAGTGCCTGAGGTTTTTCTGGATGCTTGCCATCTTTTAAATTGGCACCCACAATGCCTGAGAACTACACTAAACCAGGGAACATTGTGGGAAGTGTAATAAAAGCTAAATCCAGCCACTTAGTGTGGCTTATCAACTTTGCTGTTGTTATTTGTTCTTTTTAAAGAAAGGCCAGGGAGAGGTATCAGTTGCCAGGCACAGGTTGCAGGTGGATGCCCAAGGAACCCTCCTGTTGATGCTGATGCTAATCCTATCACTGCTTACTTCCATTTAGCCAAAGCTTCTCTTACTACACATACTGAAAAACCATTAGCCTTTTCCCCTCCTCTGTTTTCTGACAAATCAGTAAAACAAGAAATCCATTTTACTTTCATGAAAAAAATTCTGCTTTCCATAATATTCTTTGAATTTGTCATGTGTGTGTCCCTACTCCCACCTGTATACGACAATCCCAATCCCAATCCATGCAACCTGTGCCATGAAAGAGAAGTTTGAATTTTAAGTATGTATTTCCATATAAATCTGCCTGAACTCTAAGTTCATCTGTGGAGCTCCTTCTCCAGGAGCCCTCTTTGAAAGAAGCTAGCAGGTTAGCCACCAGGAGAAGGGCCTTCTCAGTGGTAGCGCCCCGACTGTAGAATCTGCTCCCCAGAGAGGTATGTTCAGAGCGCACTTTTTATTCTTTTCAGCACTAGGCTAAATCCTTTTTATTTTCTTATTTTAATATATTTTATCATATATATATATATATATATATATATATATTGCATATGGCTTTTTACTGAAGTGCTGTTGTGCTATTGTTTCTGTAAACTGCCTTGAAATTTCAGTGAAACACAGTATATTAATGTTATAAATGAATAAATGATTTTGGAATCACGGATCTGACAATTCTGACATCAGAGTTTGGCCCACTGTGGAGGAACACTCCACTCAGGAAAAGCAGGGGGTTGATGGGGTTTTACCCCATAGGGTTGGTGGGGTTTTCCAGTAGCTCCCTACCACATATCAGCAGGCAAACAAACCATCCAACAGATGCCCTGATCCCATGTGCATCCACCCAATCCAAGCCAGAGGATACTGGATATCCCAGACCCAGAGAAATGGGAACAAAATTGACACCTTCTACCTCTGCCCCAGGGACAGCAAGACCAAAGTGGACGGCTCTGAAGTTAGTACTGAGGCCTGCCTGGGAATAAAGCACACACAAGGCTGAAAAGATTAGATATATTTGCAGTAAAGAAGGGGAAACAAAAGAATAAACCCGTGTACAAAATTAGGAGGAGATCGGCACCTGAGATAGACACCTAACCCTAAGACAAATACCTCCTTAAATCACTTCTCAGCAACAGAGAAATCCTCTGAAAGGTTAAAATTACAAAACTCTGTTCAGCCCCTTGTCCAGCTTACTCACAGGCAAAGGCCTTCTGTCAGGTTGTTGCTTCAATCAGATCCCAAGCCCACAGAAACAGACTCGGATCCTAGCACCTTCCTAACAAAGGCTGAAGCCCAGCAGTGATACTCTCGGCTTCATATGACCAGTATAAGGTGGGCTCCCAGAGCCAGTCATGGTGAAGCAAGGGACTTCCTCAGCTCCTGTTAGGGAGGACCGAGTGGAAAACTTCTCCCACATCTCTTAAAAGCAATCAGCTTATTTTTGGCTGGGATCAGCTTGGACCTTGAAGGCCTGGAAGCCAGGGGAGATTATGAAAAGGCACGTAAGTTGGGGTAATGAAAGCATGCCAGGCCCTTCCTATGAAATGGAGTTTCCTGTTAGCAGCAAAAAAATCTCAGGCAAAGGGACTGTAGCTTTTCTGCCATACCTCCAAACACCTCCCCCTACCTGTTTTGCTATTTTTGTTTAATGCACAGGCTGAACAAGGAACTTACAGAGCTTGCTGTCTATTTGGAAACCCTTTGATTGGTCTGAATAAAAAGTATTATCATGTCAGAGTGAGTGTAAGTGGACCAACAGATTTATTTTGTAAAACAACCAGTTCACTTTCAAGATTTATGTATGCTGTTTTATAGCAATAGTATGAATTTACCTTTTCAAGGCACTTTTTCTTC